TCTTGGTGCTCGCGGTGCAGTAAACTGATACCGGGTTTTCATTTCTCAGTGTGCCAAAACTCGGTCAGGGGCGGAAAAGTCTGGGCAACAGCGCGTGGTCACGAAAAGGGTTCTGAACCCTCAATATACATGTTACGTCTCAGCTTTCATATCCAGTGCTTTTGTGCAGAAAAGCTAGGGGAAGAAAAAGGCGAGTGGGGTCTTTTATACTTGGCAGAAAAACAAGTATTCTCCCCTCTTTCCGCATTTTTCCTTCCGCGTTTGTTTGTGTTCTTGACGGGGGAAAAAGAAGGCGAAATGTAGCCGTCAGTTGGTTGAAACAGGCCCGTGCCAGATGCTCGTCACAGTGTCGCCTGTTGGAAGTCAACAAAAACACGCCCTTTTCGACGGGATTGTCTCTTTTCTCAAGGACTTCTAGTTGAATTTTGAAGTCTTCCGTAAGTAGAGATCATGGATTACTTCAGCTGGTGATTTTCGAGGATCTTTTACTGCGTATATTGCGATCAGCAGACGGCTTCACGAGAAAATGCCGGGAGTGGGAAACTCCAGTGAAAAGGATTCCATCAGTAGAAATAAATTTCATGCATGGAAAAAATTCAGGCTCAAAACGCGTGGAAGGGAGTATTGCAGGGATAATTAATTTGATACAGAATTGCGGGTGACGTATGAAAAAGGATCGAATTACGTGGAAAAGAAGGCCAATCCACGTAGGAAACTTTTTTTTTAAACTTCTGTGTCATCTTAAGATCTTCGAATGCGTTTTATAAAATATGTGAGGTGGTAAAGCGTTATACAGCGGGTGAGCTAGGATTGCTTTCATGGACTTGCATTGAATTAGCTGATGATTATTCCAGGACAATACAGAATAAAGAGAAATCATGCGAGGGAACCACAAAATTTTCTCGCACGGCATTTTCATTCGCGGCTTTTTCTGATCACGATCAAAAATCCAAAAGATTTTTGCTGTGAAGACATTTTTCTAACCGTCGAAACATGTAATGTACCGTACAATCGTACAACCAATCGGTCCTTTTAAAATGATTCCTGTACATAGTACTGTATTTGACTTTCTCTGCCGTGATTAAGATTCATGATCGACTTATGTGCAGTCTGGAAATAGATTCTCGAAATATCTGACATGACAAGACCAAGTTCCCCTAAAATGATGATGAACAGTGAAATCGATGCAAAAATAAGTTTGAATCAATGTTGCGAGCAAGTGAAAATAATAGAATGTGTATCAGCCGTGATTATTTTATGCGACAACAGTAATTTTATTAAGGCTAGTTCCGTGGGAAATTTATTTCCCTGCGTTTAATGTATATCCGTTCAAAAAATTGAACGCGATTTTAGCTTTATTTACGAAGCAGAAACTTTTCTTGATTCGAAAGCAGAAATTATATCCCGAAAATATTCCAAATTCACGCAGTGGATCCTGAAAAATGCATCACCATGTGCAAGTGCGGAGGATATTCTATAACCCGTCTCGAACCCCTCCTATTCCCCTGCAACTCTTTTTTTTTGCACAAAGAGAAATCTGCACAAGCCAAACGAATTCGAACCAACGCCCAGCGAAATCCGAGAAGCTCCGTATCGTCAATCATTTTGACCCAGTGTGCAAACAGGCTCGTGCTTGAGGGATTGCGTTTCGGTTTCGGTTTTTTTGTTTTTTTATGTTATGTGTGTATCTTCTCCTCTTTCCAATTTTTGCCAACCCCATATTTTTGTTGTTGTCGTCTCCTTCTACTCGTTTGGATTTTTTTTTTTCATTTTGTCTGCGTCACGTTTTTCGCGGCGAGTGCTGTTTCATATACAGCAAAATTCTCTTACAACGATAATCTCCTTGAAATAATTTTTTTTTTTTGGTTCCAAGCGATTTCTCCTCAGAAGAATTTTGTTTTACAGATTGAGTTTCATCAATAATCTCGATGTGATGAATTTTCCTTATGATTTTGAATAATTGGCACAAAGTAAATTTGAATAAACCAACTTGTGAATAAACAATCATGAAATATAGAATTCCGATTTTTATGAGCAGAAAATTCAATGAAATACGAAATATGATGCTCTTATCGGAATGTATTTGGCTTTATTTTGAAATTTAGAAAATGTCCAACTTCTTCTATTAAAATTCGAAAAAAAGAATTTTGTTCCATTTCAGTTAACACACAGATTTTCATGAGTAAAAGTTCTTCTTACGCATGTATTTTTGGCTGTTTTAGTGCATATTTCAATACATTTTATGGAAATTTAAGAAGGTAGGTATAAAATTGGCGGGTTGTTGATTAGTTAATTTAAAAATGGAAATGATGAAAATTCTTCAAATATCTGGTACGGTATATAGAAACATTTCAAAGCAATTATCACATGTTTGCCACAACATTTCAGTTCTATAGTTACTCCAAATATCCCTGAATTTCATGTCAAATGTTTAAACAAATTCATTTTTCACTTGTTCTTGAGAGTTTGTTGTAATGAGATTTTATTGTAATGCGTGACTGACCTGAGTTTGACTCCTTGTAAAGAATCCAAATGAAAAACGGTTGGAGTCATACATTTGTTGGATCACAAAAGGGAGAACTCAAAAGTTGTTTCAGCTTGAGGAATTTACTCAACAGAATTATTTGAAAAAAATTATGATGAAATCCCCTGAAATATTCAAAATGAAAATGGGTTTAAAGTGATATGCTCTCATGATTCTTGCAGAGGATGCCATCACATAAACTCATAAAGTATCTGATTTCATGAATAACTTCAGATCATTTTGTGGTTGAATTTACATGCTATTGGAACATGGTTTTTTTCAGTCATGTTGGGCACGTATTTTACACAGATGAGTTTTATTTTTTATTAGGTATTATTGTCGGTCACGTACTGGAACAGCACTGTTTGCCTCCTGCCTTTTTGTCGCGTGTGGGCGTAATTTATGCCGTTTTAGGGAACGTGCCAAATACGTTTTTCCTTTGCCTTTTTTTTTTATTTCGGTGGGTTCGTGCACTCGGATTTTCATGTTTTTTCTATCCATTCTGTTTTGTGTGTGTGATTTGAAAAGTGTTTGTTTGTGTGAAGATGTATGAAGAGTGTCGATTCCGGGGATGAGGAAAGTGTTTGTGTGATGAGGTCGAGCTGGAAAAAACCGATATACGAGTCGTTTGAACCGTGGTGAAAAGAAAGTGAGCGTGTTTGAATGCTGTGATGATTTTTCATTTGATCATTTTCTTGAATTTTCTGAGTCATACATATATACAAGGATTAAATGGTCCTTGAAGTTTTGAGACTCAGGTACCCCTTCCCGAAATCTTTGCGAAGTGATTTTTTCAAATCATCAATCCAGCTGTTCTTGAAAAAAAAAGAATAAAATCCAGCCGAAACTTTCTTTATTTGGTTAGTGTTTTCAATAGCGGGTTTTTCCTGGGGTTAATAACGGAAAAGTTGAATCTGAGCTGATTTTGAAACGTGTTATAATTGAGGGAGCCACAGGAATTTAAAGTATCAATTGTTTCAACTGACGCACATTTTGGGGCAATTTATATTTAATAACTGGAGCGTTTTAGGTACGATAAATTTTTGGAAAGTGTAAAAATTTTGCGAATATTGATTGACAAAATTTCTGTGCTAAAAATTCTTGAAATAAATGTAGTGCATGTGCCATGGATGGAAAACAAAGCGATGTACAGTATAAGATTCAAGATCAATTGTAAAATCTGTAAATTTTGAGCTTGCATCACATTTTTCATCTCTTCAAATTTTCCTAATGTTGTACATATAAACCGGGAAAAAAATTCCTCATCACACGAAGCAATATTCTGTCGAATTCTTTTGGAATGAAATGGGTTCGTTCTAGCGAAATTTGAGCATTTCTTTCAAATTTGAAAAAAATTTTCTGCCGCTTTTCAATGAAGTATTGATGTAAAAATATTTAGTCATTTCGATCTCTTCATCAAAATCATTTTAAGTTTTTGATTTACCCAGTTGAAAAAATCCAATTTGAATTTCAATGATTCAGATGGAAAAAATTTCATTTATTGGTGTAATTGATTTGTTTGACTCTTTTTCTCAGAGTGAGGCTCATTTAATTCCACCTAAAAATCCGTGTGAATGATTGGATTTGTTGATGGAATTTCTTTGGCAGGTTGATGATTCGTTGACACGGAGATAAAGAGTCTAAAGTTTCGAGTGAAATATGTGTGAATGATACATCCTGGTGTGTTTTGTGAAGACAACTTGACTCGTCTGCATCATGTGCGAGCAAGTGTTTTTATTTTTTAAATTGTTTTCTCCATACTGTACATGTAAGCAGTTCCGAGAGTTTGTTTCTCTCTCACTCTCTATCCGCTCAGTTTCCGGTCGCGTTTCCCCTGTCTTTTTCTTTGTGTTTATACTGTGCAAGCAAAACGGTTTTTTTTGTTTGGTTGCTGGAAGTGTAGCAATTTTTGCGCTGATTCCGCAGTTTTTTGCCTCCCTTTTGTGTGGGTGGGTTTGAGCTGTTGGAAATCGGGTCCTGTGCTTTAACCAGCGTTGCTTTGCAGCCGTGTGGTTCTTTTTCTGACTCGTGGGGATTTTTATGCGTGGGTTGATTTTGGTTCGTTTATTCAGATGTGATGGCAGTGACATCTGTCCGAGGAAATGTACGATTATTTTCTTGTTTTCGAAGCTCTTAATTGCGTTCTGTACATCACTCTTAGTCACATGACTGAATGCGGTGTAGTGTAGATTGTATCGCGTTTTTCGAAAACTGAAATTCAATACAGGGTGGGAACAATCTTCATTACCCTTCAAAAGGACTGAAAAGCAGACTCGTGCCTGGCTCTAAGGACTGGAGTTTGCACAAGGTGCAAAGCACACACTATAGGGGGGACGAGTCCGTGGTTGCATTTGATTAGCAGCTTTTAAAGATGGGGTTATATGGCGAAAAATATTTGCCGTGCGGATATTCGGGAACCACTCGGGAATATTGTCACGTTTCAATTCTTCCTTGAAAGAGAAAGAAAGAACAAGCATTTAAAAATTTTTCGTTTCAATTTATTCCCATGACTAACACACGTAGAAATTGTGACATTGAGGAACAGAAATACCACACGAACACAATCGTTCTCACTGTCGAGTGCAGACGTGAAATTGAGGCACTGATCCTGAAGAGAAAAAAAGTCACTTTAATTCATTTCAAGTATTTCCATGAAATGAGTCAAGGAACAATTACATGAAAAAAAATGTGATTTACCTGCTCGACGTGGAAGTCATAAATCCCACGAAAGGTAGATGCCAGAATTGACTGACAGACCAGGTTAATTCTCCAGTCTCCGAGGAAATCTGATGATATGGAAGATCGATTAGAATACTTCATAATTGAAAAATAAAAAACGGTGATTCAGAAAATAATAGATATTTAACTAGTGTCAGATTTTCGAAGCTCTTAATTGCGTTCTGTACATCACTCTTAGTCACATGACTGAATGCGGTGTAGTGTAGATTGTATCGCGTTTTTCGAAAACTGAAATTCAATACAGGGTGGGAACAATCTTCATTACATTTCAAAAGGACTGAAAAGCAGACTCGTGCCTGGCTCTAAGAACTGGAGTTTGCACAAGGTGCAAAGCACACACTATAGGGGGGACGAGTCCGTGGTTGCATTTGATTAGCAGCTTTTAAAGATGGGGTTATATGGCGAAAAATATTTGCCGTGCGGATATTCGGGAATATTGTCACGTTTCAATTCTTCCTTGAAAGAGAAAGAAAGAACAAGCATTTAAAAATTTTTCGTTTCAATTTATTCCCATGACTAACACACGTAGAAATTGTGACATTGAGGAAACAGAAATACCACACGAACACAATCGTTCTCACTGTCGAGTGCAGACGTGAAATTGAGGCACTGATCCTGAAGAGAAAAAAAGTTACTTTAATTCATTTCAAGTATTTCCATGAAATGAGTCAAGGAACAATTACATGAAAAAAAATGTGATTTACCTGCTCGACGTGGAAGAAGTCATAAATCCCACGAAAGGTAGATGCCAGAATTGATACTGTCTGGTCCAATTAAGAGGTCAGAGGCTCCTTTAGACTACTATACCTTCTAGCTAATCTTATGAAGTATTAACTTTTTATTTTTTGCCACTAAGTCTTTTATTATCTATAAATTGATCACAGTCTTCTTCTTAGAGATTAAGCTTCACTAGAAACTCAGCGGATTTGTGTTCATCATCCAAAATAAAAAAATATGTGGAATTTAAAACATGAAAATCAACTCACGCAGCTTTTCCATGGCTTCTCGTCGCATGAGCTCATAAATCTGCAAGAATAAATAAATCCCGGATAATATCTAATGTATCCAGTACAATTTAGTTCAATAGTCCTGCATTTCTTTTAAAACCTTTAAAATAACGCCCATTAAATCTTGTTTACTTTTTAAAGAAATAATTCCATTACTGTAAAATACTGTACTGTACTACACTTATTTTGGCGCTATGCGCATTTACATGGTATGTCCCCGAAATTCTGCAAAAATAAATTGCTATTCAAAAAACACTACTTATATAGAGCGATGTCATTTCATTTTTCAGAATCATAAGTGTCTCATTGAACAATTGAAAAGTTCAGGAAGTACCCACCAATTAATCAATGACGTCCTGCAGAATTCCAAGCGATCACTCATGCACCTACAGGGACAAAGAACAACAAGTTTAACAATGGTTTCAAAGCATTCCATACTTGATGTCTAAGTTTTAAAGAAGTCTAGAAGAATCTCTTTGTGTAGTGATACTTAAGTTACAACTTAATAAGTAGTTAGTTTATTACTAGTGGTTTAAGCTTAATTTCCCTCAGAGTGGACTTAATCTTCGCTCTTCAAAATTCCCCTGTGTTCCTGGAAAACAAATTGAATCCAATCATTAGGAAAAGGTGACAAGCATTCGATATTCGCCAGGTACGGTAAGATTTTCTCAGGTCTTCTTAGAGATAAAATATCACTTATAAATCAATGTAAAAATTGTTCATCACTGGAATTGCAATATAAATTTCAATAGAGAAATTCTCACCTCCAAAATAACGCCAACAGTCTTCCACCACTTCTTCCAGGGGAATTCCTGGAATAAATTAAACATTCGAATAAACGCAGGGTAAAAGAAGCAGAGGAATTTCCAGAGCAATTCCATTTTTCAGATCTTCTTAGAGAAAAATTCATCAAAAACTCAACAATACATTTTTCATCACCCAAATTTATGGATATGCTACAAGGATTTTTTTTTGAGTGGAACCTTCCTTATGGAGGCTGGAAGAAGAGCTCGTTAAGGACTTTTATTTTAACTTTCCTTACATGTGTTCGCCATTATCGATATTGTCTTGTTTTAAGCGCTAAAATCCTTCCCTCAGGTCTTCTTAGAGAAGAAAAATCACTCTAGTATCAATCTTGTGTTGTTCATCACAGAAATTTAAAAAAAATAGGCAACAAACAAACATGCTCACCTGAACATATCCACCGACAATAATCGATACAGTTCCGCAAGCACTTCCTGGAAAAAAGATGCAGTTATTACATTGCACATAGGTATATTAAAGCATTGATAAAAATCACGTAAATTCCTCTCAGGTCTTCTTAGAGATAAATAATCATCAAAAATATCAATTTCGAATACTCATCACTTGAACTGAAAAATGACTGACTCAGGATATCAAGTAGAAGAATTTCTCACCTATACAAAATAGCTCCAGAATTGTCTCCCAGGAATTTCCTGAAAAATAATATAAAATGACTTCAGAATCCTTGGGAAAAAATGGTTTTAGAATCAATATGCCTGAATTGTCATCAGATGTCTTCTTAGAAATATGCATCATCATAATCAATTAAAATCGTTCATCATTCGAAAGGAAGTATTTGTCTGGAATTTTCCATAAAACGAAACTCACCTTAAATGTTGTCATTCCAGTGGAAGCTTCTCTAATTCTCCTGGAAAAAATAAACCAGAATTTACTTTGTGGCACAAATTCAAGCAGAGCCATTTTACTATTCTTTCTTGTGATCCACACTACTTCAGATGAGAAAAAAGCTTAATTATTCAACTGGTTTCAAATTCTTTGGAGCATTTTCCATGATCATGGAAAAAAATAAAAGGAGAAGTAAAAAAAATAACATTTGGAAAGATATTCTGAAGTAATAGATCAATACACATTCGTCAAAAATTGACTAACCTACAATGTAAAATTTTGTTACTACAAAGACTCCTGGACCAGGAAAAATTTCTTTCATGTCAAATTATGTCACAATAAGCCCTGAACAATACTTCAGCTATTACTACTTAGAGATTCAAGAAATATTATGTTCTGTTATGATTTTACTGTATTAATTCGGATTCAATCAAGATAACTCGATCTTAAACTTAAGATAACTAAGATTAAGATAACTCGATAACTTAAAAACTCGATCAACTGCATCCTTACAGTCAGTTCAATCTTGCTTCAAGAATATAAAATGGCAAATTTCATCGATTAGCCAAATCTAGACCAACCTCCTCACCATTAAAAAAAAATGATTTGCTGCACTTTCAAACTTTAACTTCTTGCACAGGATATTTGGCTCCACTCTTGGCAAACTTATCAGCCTCCATATTTCCAACGTTTCCCTTGTGTCCAGGAACATATACCTAAAAAAAAAAATAAACATGACTTCTTATCAGTAGCAAGTTGAATGTCAGATAAAATAAGAAGAGTTCTCACTTAAGTAGAAAAACAGTTCTGAAGTAAACGTTCTAACTGAAGTATAAAAACAGAATTACAACCTCATCACCCCAATAAAAATTCCCATCTTCAAAATATTTGCAAAGTATTCAAAAAAGATTAAACTTTTAAAATGCACTCACATATCTGACAGGGATGGTAGAAACAGAGTCCAACAGCTCCAGCTCCTCTCTGTTTTTCACATTTTCCCCACTGGTTGTCTTCCAACCATTCAACTTCCACTTTTGTATCCATTTCTCCACGCAATTAATGGTGAAATGAGAATCAATCTTTACTTCCAGTTTGTCACAACCTGGGCAATCAGAAGTCAATCACCACCAATTAAAATCCCATCATTGCGCCTTCGGAGGGAGAAAAACCTGTTTTTATCTATGATACAGATGGATCCTTTCAACAACAAATTTCTCATTTCTCAATACAATAAAACTGTTCCAGGTTCTGAAAAGCATAGAATTCTCAAGCTGAATATTCAGAACCTTCACAAGTATTCTTGGTTACTCTTGTCTCAGTTTAGAGTCTTTAGACCAAACCCATCCACATAATGTGAGTACTATAACAGGTGGACTCTCTCTGCAACAAAATTCAAGGAAACAGAAAAGAATTGTTATGCAGAGAAAATCATTGTAGAGAGAGTTCACCTGTGTTATTTTCTGTTGTTCTAAATGTAAGTGGGCTTATTCAACTTCTGTTTTGGACGCACATTGGGTAATAAAATGAAAAACTTGTGCTTCAAAGAATCAGAACCTTGGGGCTCCTCAAGGAAAACAGCCATAATCTCACCTGATGCTTTCACAATTTCCACAGCATGGACCACAGCCATAATTTCAGCCCTATTACTTGTCTGTCGCCCTTTTGTAAGTGGTATTGACACATTCCTAAAACAAAACAAAAATACGTTTTAGGACATACTGTATTTCAAACGAAGTCACAATAAGGGAAACTAACAAGGGATGAAGAGGACCAAACCACACCCCTATGCCTCCAGAAGCTCCCAGTTTGCCGTTCAAGGAACAAGCCCCATCTGTGTGGCATTCCACAAATCCATCAGCATTCACTACATAGTCTTTTTTGGTCAGCTTCTTGGCCTTGGTCAACAACTCCTTGGGTAACTCAAATACTTGAACACGTTTCTGCTTACTATCTAAAAAAAAAAACATACACAGGGGGAAATCAGTTCCATGCCCAGCTCATTATGCTTTTACTTGAACTTGGCAAAACAAGGCATGGTTAGTTTTATCCCACTTCGAGCTAAAAAAAAAATATGATTCCTGGAAAAATTACACACCGTAATCCATTGGATCCATTACTTAAAAACTTTTAGAAGAACTTGAGGACAAAACTTTTCTGACAAATGAAAACTTGAAAAAAATGTTTTCAGCTAAAATAATTTGCTTTCGCCAAAATAATACTGTACCACATCAAATTTCACTCACCAGCTGCCAATTTCGCGAACAGACGTTTCACTATATACATCACGTTTCCTGTAATAAAAAACGAAAATAAAAAGGCGATGAACCTCAAAATTTTCACAATAACTCGAAGAAAAAAACTCGTAGATTTTCAGGATTTCAATTCTCCGTTACGATCCCAGTCCTCGAAATAATTTAAAAAAAATGCCAACAATTTAAGCACGGAAATCACAGCACTTGCCCGGGGATTATTTTCAAGTCATATTGCCGGAAGAATTGTCAGGAGATCGAGAAAGAAAATCAAACAAAACAAATTACCCATAATGTGAAAAAATATACCCAAAGACCTCCCATTATCCCGTTACTAAAATCAAGCGTCGATCCCTAAGTAAAACAAGAGCCCTCCATCAAAGACTGAAGTTCTTCTCAAGCTGCTTCTTGTATTCGTTGTAGCGCGTGATGGCATACCTGAAATCATGACCGAAAACTCGAAATTATGGCAAAGAAGGCATTAAAAAAATACTGTATACAGTTTTTAAATCTTTACCCGAGGAAGTCGAAATCAATATCACTACTGGAAGCCTGGATAATTGCCCACACAGCCCAGAATAGATGTGAAGCCGCAGAAAACTTGTTGACCCATGATATCATGTCGTCGACTTCAGCGTCTGAGACAGTGAGACACTTGACACCTTGGTACTTCTTGGTACTCATGAGGTACCTGCGAATCCACTCCGTTTGTTCTTCTCTTGATGGGTACAATGAATAGTCCACCTCCTCAACACCTGTCGTGAGAATGTAAGAAAATGCTTGATTTTTAGTACTTTAAACAGTGGAATTTCTGATAATGGCCCTCGCTCCGCATAACTGATAGCCTCAAGAATGATATTTCTGAAAATCAGACCGAGTTTTCGCGTGAAATGTGATCACCAGCAACATTTTTCAAGTGAATACATTATTTTTATGGTTTTGATTGAGCCTATTTCTTCTAGCACTGTATCTATTTTAAATAATTTCGTAAGAATAACTGAATAAATATACCATTTAATATCAATGTCATCAAACTCAATTTGGGTGCTTTTTGGGGTCTGAAACCGATGAACAATTTAATACATGGTTTAAAATACTATACATTACTGTACTTGATCAATGGAAGTATTGGATGAGGTACTTTCAAAGGGAATCGAACGTAGTACATCAACCAAGACTCAAATACACTGCATGCACTTTAACCGCGATAATTCGAACTTCTCCACGTCGATTTTTTCTCAAGTCAATGCGCGAAATCCCTCAGAAAAAAAAACGCATAGAAATCTCTGTAACTCTAAGATTTTCCCCAGCAAACCTTCATAATTCGAATTTTCTTCAGGTCTTTTCGCTATTTTTTTATTTAAAAAAAAAGAAGGGAAAAGCAAAAAAAAATTCAGTTTGTCTTGATGTGTTTTGAAATGAAGTGAAAGACTAATAGGGCAAATGAACCCTGTCCTTCAAGAAGATCATCCTGCCAACTCATTTAAGGTACAATTCACAGCCAAAAATATCATCGATTTCTATTTCCTGTCGTGCATTTCTCTTTCCCCCAACTCGACTTTTTTTTTCTTGCTGATCCCTTGAAATTCGACTTGTATCTTGAAAATTTTTCGATGCAATGCTTTACCTGCCCATTCGTTGAAGTGATTGGCAATGTCATAGGCCGTAACATTAGTTCCTGCGTATTCGTAGTCAATAAACGTCACTGATTTCCGGTCGCAGCTCAACACGATGTTCTCCAACAAAGCATCGTTGTGACACAGGGCAACAGATTGTGGGGCCGATTCCAATTCTCGCTTCAGAAAATCAATCCGAACCAAAAGTTCGGACATGCCAGGGAATTCTGCCAAAAACCGGTCATTTTGGTCACAGGGAGTTAGACTAGAGGGGAATATTTTGCACATCTTGTCCAAGCTTCTCCAAATGGACGGCAGAGCATCTGTCACTGGTATCGAATGGATTTTTGCCATTTGGTCACACACAAGGGGAAAGACCTGCAAAGTTTACAATTTATTGAAAGAATCACGGAAATCACAATAACTCGTTTAAAATGAAAAGTATTCCCTCACTAGGAAATTACTTCGTCAATCAAGATGAGACAAGAGAAAAAAATAATTCAAACAATCATAATCTAGGATTCGGGGTGCTTAAATTTCAGTTAATTTACAAATGACATAAATATCAAAAGCCCAATTTAACTTAATTTTAAAAATTCATTTTATTTTTTTGCTCGCATCAAATTCAGGACATCGTAGCATTACTTCATTCACACCAAGTGAACTCAGATTAGAATATAGTTACAGTAAGTCTCGTTAAAACGAATAATCGCTCACAAAGAATCATTCTTTAGGCCCCTTTCCAATAGCCAAAATGTTGAATGCATTTGTTCATAACGAAATTTTCATTGAAACAATGTTAAATGCGTTACTTTATAAGGAATTCTTAATTCAGACAATATTAAACGAGTTACTTCAACAAATGTTTCATCCGAACGAATTTATTTTCCTTGTACAGTACCAATGAATTCGTTGTAACGAGATTTTACTGTACCTTATTGTATTCATCACGAAAATGCTTCGGAAATTTCCATGGTAAATTCCAATAAGCTAAAACAACAAATTAGCACATTTTGAAATTAAAAAACGACGTCAATTTACCAATGGATCACGAACACTCTGCACTGACAACGTAGTCCCAGGAATGAACCCGTATGAAATCCCGTTCTTGAAACACGCGAACAATTCAGCTGCACATCCGTGTCTGTAAAGAGTCTTCCCAGAAACCATGCTTCAAAAATCACGGAATTCATTCCGACATGAAAACAAAAAATGAACTCACTCGCATGTTTTCCTTTTCTTTCTTCCTGTCTATGAATCCATCAGTCTTGTCGCCATAAATCCGCACAAGAACTGTATCACCATTCTTCTCCAATGAGAATGCGAAAAGCCTGTTGGTGATCCCGGCTGTGAATTCCTTTAAGGAAGAAAGAAAGAGACGAATTTGAATAATTCAATTCATTTTAATGGCACACCTACAGTTTGGAAAACGGATGAACACTTGCGCTGAAGCAGAGAAATATTTCCCGAGCGATATTATTTGGTGAGCAAATCAGCGAGAAAAGCATTTTGAATCGCTGCACAACGAAATTACCTGAATACCGCATTTACGAGAATATAAGCCCCCCTAGATTTTGCATGCACAAAATTAGAATTCAATTAAAAGGCGAATATAGACACCAACTCACTTTCGTGCGTTCTGAATTTTCTAAGGAACCTAACATTTTCTGACTGAATTCTGGTTTTCCACAGAAGAAGGAAAAACGGAGTCACACAACCCTTTCTCTCTGCCTTCAATAAATGATTCAAACATCTTTAAATACTAAAAACTGACTCATTCCTTAATAATCTTCAATATTAAAAAATCGTTTTATCGTTTTGTGGGTCGTGAACAAGAGGATTTCCTGATATAGACTCAAATTTATGGAATATGCCACTATGAGCACCCTCACTGCAGTTTTTCAGCTGAGAAAAAATGGAGATTAGCGTAACACAGTAATCCATTACTAATAATGAGGTATTTATCCTTAAAATCAGCAAAAAACGGGAAAAGCTCATACGTATTGAAACTTTCGAGTGACAAGGCATAAAATTGAAGCAACATTATAAATCTACAACCAGTGACACCAGTGACATCTACTCACAATAGAACAACTTTCCAGCTTCATGGACCACATTATAGAGGATTATACTTGAAAAAAATTCCCACAGAACAGTAACTTGATCAATAAAAAAGTAATTCAATGAGAAATGAAGAGAAACCTTATGCTGAATCCGGGCTGGATCCCAGTTTGGCCTCACAGCATTCACCACAGCCAAAGCACCATCCAGAACGCTGTCTCTTTTTATCTCGATATCAAGTTCAAGCGGGAACTTCATTATCTCACTTCATCAGTGTGAGTGTGTCACTATTAAAACATCCCCTGCAACAAACACAAAAAGGTATTCAAAACCCCAATAAACAATCCTCATCCAATCAAAACATTCGTGAAATTCAAAAACGAATTGCTCGGAATATCCTCATAAAAAACGATTTCCTTTCTTTTTTTAAACCGTGGATTAAACACTTCACACACAAAACCCTGTGCACTATCCCTTTTCCCCACGAGAAAAACAAAACCAAACAATTTCGCATCACTTGTAATCCGAAAGAAAAAAACTTCCCTTTCAGACACATTTAACCAAAGACTTTTACTGGACTGAAGATGATTCACGTCGGAATAAACTGGGTGCTGGTCAAGCATGCAATCTACCATGAAAACCGCAAAAAACTTCACATCAGCAAAGTCCCTCCTCTCTTCCATCCTCAAACACATCACAGGAACATTGAATGTACAAAAAGGGATCAACTTTCCTCATGATGTACGGAAATTGAGCATTTTAAACGGCAAGAAAAAACAGATTACCTGAAAAAATGGAACAATTCTGTTACTCTTGAAATAAATACGTTTCCTCAAAAATGCGATAACAGGGACTCGAGACTTCCGCAAGATAAATGATTTAAAATGAAAGCATACGATTTTTCCTTTTTCTTTTTTTGGTAGACGAATAACTAGACCAGGCCCATGAACAGAAACTTGAGACAGCCCGAGGTTCGGAAACACGATCACAGGCCATAAAGTCAAGAGTTTTTCAAAACACTGGTAACGCCACTGCACGGAGAAACCAAACACAAACAAAAGGTGTGTTCTTCCTGTCCTTTTTTTTTTTAATCCGATCTTCACTGCGCCAAGACTAAGTACCTGGCTACCCTGAAAAGTAGCAGAAGCGCAATTGCCAGTGAAAGCAACGTCACACTCGCATAGTACACCATTTTCCGAAAGCACCTCAAACTGGTTCCCGATAAAATCACCGCGGGTTGAAGATGATGGTGACGATTCTGTTGACGGGGTTGTTGATCAACCTGAACTGGTTCTTCCCCCATGGGTGATCGTCTTTCCCGAAGAGCAGTTTCTTCGGGGGCTTGAGGTTCATGTGTTGAAATGGGTTCCGGGGTTACTTCTTCGTCGTCTTCTGCGTCTCCGGAAACGATAGCGGGTTCCGTTGGGGCCTCGGGTTCTGCTTTCAATGTCATTCTAGACACGATTTCGGAAATTTCGCGTTCAGTTTCAGTGGGACACGCGACGCGGGAATGCTTGGATCTTGCACCGGTGGGAGACGGATCTGTTTTAGAATGTGGCAAACGAGGCAGAAGGGCATCTTTTATTCCTCCGCAGGTCGGACATGACCATTCCAAAGACCTGAAAACATTTAAAAAATATATTTTCAATGAAACACTTCAGGATTCTCGTGCAGTATATTTCAGAGTTGTTTGAAATCAAATCAATCTAAACGCATAAGGTGATACATAAACTGAACGTCCGACTGGTTTTACATTCCACATGGCAATAGATTAGGTGTTCGTAACATAATTTCCGGCTAAATTATTGTTTTAACTTTAGAACTTACTTTTTTGCCAGTTTCTTCCGCTCTTCAGGAGAATAATCGAGCGATCCGATAGCTCCTTCGCCAGCCGTGGGCATGAAGCCTATTATGGCAAGCAAAGCCGTTCGGATGGACCACGACGGCTGCCAGCTTTCAGGATGATGGCCTGATATACTCAGACAGACTTTCTTGTGCAGTTCAAATCTGCCATTCGGCTGTAAATTACACGAAGGTCTTTCAGAACTACACTCTTCACTCGAATACACATCGCGATTACTCCGAAGATGGGCTCAAAACACCGAGGTATTATCTTTAATTCGCAAGTTGAGCGCAGGATTACATCTAAACACGAAGAAGTGCGATTGAGTCACGATTCCCAGTTTCAAGGTAAAAGTGTCCGGATTTCTGTAGGAAACCTGCCTAGACTAGACTGAAGTACACGCGGAAACAGCCGACTCCTTAATTTCAAAGAATGGAATGTGACTAAAAGGTTCATACGAAGTTTGTGACACACGATAGATACAACAGCGGTGCATCTCACAATCGAAGGGAGTCTCACAATCAGAAAAAATAAGAAGTACGAGAGTTTCGATCACTCTGACTTACCGTGAGGAGGATGATTGAAGGAGGTTTCATTGGATACTCAGGCGGTAGAAGAATTCTTCCATGGTACAAACCGACATCGAATTCAGTATCACGTGGACCTCGGACTGTGAAGTGCCATTCGAAAAGGTTGTCTTCCATGGGTTGTGTGTAATAATCCTCCGTTGGTTCACGGAGTTCTTGGGCTTCTTTCATGAGGCGTTTAACGGCTATGATAAAAAGAACAATCATAGAAATGCAATACACTGAAACATCGGTTTGAAGAAACTTACCCGGACTCTTGAGATTGTACTGGCCCTCCATGACAGAGTGGATAACGTAAACGCGCGCTTTAGTCCGACGACGCACTCGGAAATTTCGCACGGAACACTACAGTATACGTCAGTTCAACGTTTGAAAATGCAACGCGTAAGTAGAACTCATTGACTGTACTGACGCGAATTACACGTGTAATACAACTACAATCTTCCCAGGCAGAACAGCGACTGAGCACTTTCGATCAGCTGATATACAGTAACTAAATCACACTACCATGTCAGCTCGACGTTCGAAACCATTCCATCAGCATCTACATGAGATGTTATCCAATTACACCTTTCACACTAAAGTTATGTACTGCACTGTACTGTACTAAATTTTTTCAACTGTAGTTGAGTGATTTCAAATAAAATTCAATATAGTTCTGAGCAATGNGCTTGATGTCCTTTTCCGTTTCATCGGCTGATGAGGATGACGTGGTTGGCGATGGGGAGAGCTGGAACCAGCGGCGCTTCTTGCCGCTGTTATGTCCGGTTGCGGTTGTGGCGACGGGGGTTCGACGACGCTCTCGGGTAGGAGAAGTTCTTCGCTGGACACGGGTGACGGCCGCATCTGGTTGGGACTTGGTAGACGTTGGTCTGTCCGATTGCGGACGGCGTGGTTGGTCCCATGTCCGGGTGATGAATAGTTCCCTTGGGGAGCTTGTGCGCCGTGGGCGACGTGGCTGTCGCTCTGGTGGGTCGCGCTCTCGGCGTCGCTCTGGTGTTCGTCTGGTTCGGCTGGCCCGTGCGGGTCGTGCTGGTGATCTGAGTTGTCGTCGGTCTCGTACCCTAGGCGAAAGCGAGGGCGATCTTCTTCGTTCTGTGGAGGAGAGAAGCTTGTGTTAGGTGCCGGTCGTATTTTTTCAGGGCATGTCTCGGGGGGGGCAGTCGGAAACGAGTATTTTTGGAGCTCCCAGGCGTTCGCGAGTTGTGGCCCGTTTTTGGTCGCGATGACGTACGTCCCTTTGCCTTGATAGCGGAGGACTTTGAAGGGCCCGTAGCGTTTGGGCAGAAAACGGCGATGCGCCGCGTGACGTTCGGTGGTTTTGAGCCGCGGACGCAGCGTTACCATTTGCCCCGCGTGGAACGGCGGCAATTTTCGTTTGTTTGCTTGCTTGATGTATTGACCTCGGCGGTTCTGGGCGGTTTGCTCATGGCGAACTTCAACAAAACTTTACAGGGACCCGCCCCGCAACTTGAACTACAGGCGACCGCAGCCGTAACCAAAAAACACGGTGTCGAGATCACCCCTGTTAGGCCACCACCTCACCCCGCAGGGATTGTATGCCAAGGTGGCTTCATACAGGACTTGGTCCCATGAGGTCGCGTTTGGCGCTGTTTTGGCGAGGATGGCGGTTAGGGACTTGATTGTGCGTTCGCATGCGCCATTGCCCTCTGGGTGGTATGGTTGTGCGATGTGCACTTCCATTTGGTTCGCCTTGGTGAAACGTTTGAAGGCGGCGGATGAGAAGACCGCTGCGCCGTCCGAATGGATGATCTCAAAGGATCCCAGCTGCGCAAAAACATCTGCGATGAAGCTGCAAAGTGCGTTGGCTGTCGCCCGTTTCACTGGTTGCGCGATGGCGCGTTTGGTGTAGTAGTCGACGGCCACGAGGGCGTATCGGTTGCCCGTTTGTGACGGAGGAAATGGCCCCCAGAAATCTATCCCCAGGCGGTCGTGTTTGTCGGTTGTCGGGACGGCTTCCAGGTGCGTGCCCACTGTGGCTGTCGCCGGATTGAAGGTGAAGCATTTTGTGCATTCGGCGACCCTCTTAAATATTTGCGTCCGCATTTCAGGCCAGGTGTATCGCTGGCGTAGTTGATGGAACGTCCGTTTCCAGCTAGGGTGACCCATTTCAATGTGGTATTCATCGATTATGTCCTGGCGTTCGGATTCGTCCAGTATTTCTTTGAGTTGGATGGTATTTAATCTGATGCGACTGAGGGCGTCTGGCCCTGTTAGGGTTTTGCCCGGTCGGTGTACCAGCGTGTAATTGAAGGATTCCAATTTGATCTTGAGGCTGATAAGTCGGGTGTTGGACAGTTCCCCTAGGAGGGCCTTGTGGTCCGTGATAATCTTGAAGTGCCGATGCTCGACATAGTGGCGGAATTTTTTGGTCGTCGCCCAAACTGCTGCGAGCAGCTCTCGCTGCGTGTTGGAGTAGCGTGTTTCCGCAGGGGTTAGTACCCTACTCGCGTATTCCATGATGTGGGGTTGTCCTTGTGGGTCGATTTGGACGAGGATGGCCCCTATTGCGGATGCGGACGCATCGCAATGGATTTCGGTATCCCATGTTGGGTCGAACCGTTCCAGCCGAGCGGCGTTTGCTATCGCTTGTTTTAGTGCTTCGAACGCTTCGGTCGCCTCTGGTGACCAGATGATGGCTGTCGCCGGTTTGATTGGAATTGTCAGTCGTAGGACTTTCTCCAATTGCGCGAAGTTGGTCGGTACATGGGCTCGCAGATAGGTAGCAAGGCCCAGGAATCGCTGCATCTGGCGTGTGGTTGCTGGTTGTGGGAAGGCCTGGACGGCTTTGAGATGCTCTTCTGCCGGGCGTGTGCCCGTTTTGTCCACGATGTGCCCGAGGAAGCGCTTCGAACGCTTCAGTCGCCTCTGGTGACCAGATGATGGCTGTTGCCGGTTTTACTGGAATTGTGAGTCGTAGGACTTTCTCTAACTGTGCGAAGTTGGTCGGCACATGGGCTCGTAGATAGGTAGCGAGGCCCAAGAATCGCTGCATCTGGCGTGTGGTTGCCGGTTGTGGAAAGGCCTGGACGGCTTTGAGATGCTCTTCTGCGGGGCGTGTGCCCGTTTTGTCTACGATGTGCCCGAGGAAGTTGATGGACTCTGCCAGAAATTTGGATTTGTTAATATCGATGGACGCTCCTGCGGACGCAAGCGTGTCGAGGACTTGTTGTAGGTTTTCCAATACCGTTTCGAAGGTATTGCCGAAGACGATGATGTCGTCAATATACACTAGGCATTTTGTGTATAAGTGCGGGCGCAGGATGGTTTCCATGGTCCTTTGAAAAATGGCGGGTCCCGTTTTGAGTCCGTATGGGAGGACCGTGTACTGCATTTGTCCTGTATAGGTTGAAAAAGCGGTCTTATGGCGGTCGCCGTGTGCGATGGGGATGTGATGATATCCCAAATGCAGGTCGAGGCAGCAAAAGTAGGCGTTTTGGCGCCCTAGTGCGTCTAGGATGTCCTGAATGACGGGCATCGGGTAGTTGTCCGCCAGTAGAACCTTGTTGATCTCCCGATAGTCCTCTACCAGGCGCCACCGCTTGATTGCGGGGGCGTTGGGATCGTCATCTTTCGGCGTCAGGAAAGCCGGGGAGTTGATGGTGGACTGGGCTGGTTCTATGATACCCGCGCGGGTGTAATTGTCGATGATGTGTTGGAATGATGGTCGCTTGTCTGGCGAGAGCCGTATGCGGCGACTGGGTTTGGGATCTTCCCCGTTGGTGGGTAGCGATGCCACGTGCTGCGGGAAGAGCCCGTGCTTACCGCTCCACTGAAAGATGTTGGGTGCGTAGCGTTGCAGGAGTGCCACGATCTGCTGTTGCTCTGCAGGCGTTCCATGTACGAACGTAATGCCCTCGCCTATCGGCGCTGTCGGGGCTTCGTTGATGGGTTTAATCTGTTGGAATCCGGAAAAAACTCGCTGGCCGTCGAGGGTGACGCAGAAAGGGAGATTCTTCAACGTGTCGAGCCCGAGTATAACAGGGTAGTGCGCGTTGGAGAGTAGTAAGAAGGTGGCTTCGTACGCGGCCGATCCAAGAGTAAAAACGGTACTCACTGCGTGACTGACGGTCGTCGATACGTGAAGAACCGCTGCGGATATCCTCGCTTGGGTCGGATGCGGAGACAGGCCGACTTCCTCGGCGACGTCCGTCGCCATGAATGATTTTGTCGCTCCGGTGTCGATCAGGGCGGTCACCCGTTTGTTTTTGATGGTGATGATGATGGTCAGGCTGTCGTCTGTGGGCGTGGGGATCGAGCAGAGGACAGCCGTCACTGCCCGATCTTCCCGTTTCCCGGACACATTGCTGCGGTATGTCCTGTATTGCCGCATTGAACGCATTTAGTCGGTTGAATTGATTGTGCGGGGGACGGTGTATTCACCTGGTTTGCCGGGTTATTCCGGCATTCCTCGGTTGAATGTGCGACCATGCGCCCCGGGTGAAATGAACAGCTTTGCAGGGGGCGTCCGTTAGCCGTTGTGGACGGCGTGGATGCCCGTGAGCTCGTGCGTGACATCGTGCACTCCGCCGTGCTGTGGAACACGTACCGCTGGTGATTGTCGCAGTAATATTTCGTGACTCCAGATGCCGTCGTCTTGGGTGGGCGGTTGGCGGGAGATTGTGGTGCCGGTGATGCGGCCAGTTTTGGTGGCGCCGGGTGCGTCCGTCTATATTCGTCGGCGATCGTCAGGCATTCGTCCCATGTGAGGGAGCGATCGGCTGTCGCCCGCGCGTGAAGTTGCGCGTGAAGTCCGCCGGTGGTGATGGACAAGAGTTGTCCAATGAGGGCCCGCGTGATGGCGGTCTCATGTAGCCCGACCTCATTGGGTGGTAGGGCGAGATATCTGAGGTATTCGTCGCGTAGGCGTGGACCGAACTGTGAGAATAGCTCGTCGGACGCCGGTCGGAACTGCTGAAACCTGGTAAAGTGTTCGAATGGGGATAAACCAAACCTGGCCTTGAGCTTCTCCGCGATGATGTTGTAGTCCTCGAATCCTTGATCATATAGGAGTTGTGCTGCTTCCGCTACTTTTGGCTGAGAGTGCCCGATTAGGCAGTTGACTCGCGTGAAGTTCGGCGTTCCGTCGTGTTTAAAGGCGGTGTCGAGGCGTCGCAGGTACATTTCGATGCTTTCGTTAGGGGACTGATGCGGGTAGTCTACGCGTCTGCGCAGCAATGATCGGGCGAGTAGTTCTGTCGAACCGGGTCCCGTTTGATAGTCCGGCGGTGATCCGAGAATGATGTTGAGTGGCGTGGCGCCTCTTGCTTGGAGTGCGCTGATTAGTTCATCGCGTGGCCCTTCGTTAGCATTCGGGATCCCGTTCGCTGTCGCGTACGTACGGATGGCGTTGAGCATGAGGAAATTCCATGGATTGGCTGTCGCCCGTGGTTGCGATGTCCCTACCGGTTGTGGTGACGCGTTCGCGTTGGATGGTCCGGGTTGGGGTTCACTTTCGATGCGGTCACTGTTCATGGCGGGTCGTCGTCGGTCGGCTGAGCCCCCAGTAAGATTTGTCCACAGTCACACTGAGATAAGTTTGACTGGCAATGATTCGACACAATATAAGAATACTGAGTCTATTCACATAAGCACACTGTCGCACACAATAAACAGAGAGGTCCGCACAGTTCGGGAGTTCGAGGTAGAATGAGGCTTGGCGTGCCCCTCGTTACCCAAGATGGCCGGTTGTTGGCGCGCGGGCCATTGCGCCGGCGTACCCTGATTGGGTAGAGATCTGAACGAAGCTCGATTCGAATACGCGTTTGTACAAGTCGCGCGGGACTAATGGCCGCTGGCCGTTACTATATACAGTAACTAAATCACACTACCATGTCAGCTCGACGTTCGGTTGGTAAGGTAGTCGTAGATGTACTCTACAATAGGTTAATGTGGAAAGTGTGATTTCAATACATGACGTGACATGACATGATTTAAAAAAGTTGACATCAACTCACTAAAGTTTATTTTAAGTTATAAGTTCTGAGCAATGCATAGATGTCACTGGCATAACCACTTCAAGACTCAACACCTAACCAACAATTCCTACTGTGAAGTACTGTCCTGTACTGTACTGTATGCCAACTACAAGGCAATTTCAAGTCCAGCAGGAGAACCAAGTTTTTGGATAGATGTCGCTTCCAGCACCAGAGCTTGAAGCTCTCGAAATTACAACTTAATTATGCTAACATGAGCGAACAAAATACTGGATGTTGAAAAACTACAGGAATTCAGGGATACAATTCGCTTATAGAAATTTTTTTTTCATTCTGTTTCCCCCCGAACGTAATTTGACATGAATAATTGAGGTAGATTCCGATCACACTTTCATTCTTCCAAGTCATGATCAGTCATCAACGAAATGCAATCACAGTTAAAACTCCATCACATTTGAAAACCCGAGGTCCTTCGACAAACACGTCACACAGCGCTGAAAATCTCTGGAACCGCACACAAGAACGCTTGTGGAATCACGATCGAGCTCCAGCAACTGCTCTCGAACGAACTCTTCATTCATTCTTCCGTTCCTCAGAAACAGGTAAGGAAGAAATGGAGAATCTGCTTGTTCACTGACAAGTGTGCAGGAAAAGTTCCAAAATTTAGCAAAATTTTGAACAGTTTTCAACAACGGAGCAGTTTGCGTGGAGCGAACAGCGTAAAAAAGTTTCAATGAATATTCGGTATTCGCATCTAGAAGTGTTTGAATTATTCTTATGAAAGGTGCAATTCCAGTCCCCATTGCAAACATGAAAACTGAAGATTTTACGGATGACAAATTGAAATTCCCAAAAGGTCCACGCCATTCCATTTTCATTCCTGGAATCCATCTTGAAACACATCTTGACATGATTCCATTTGGATAGGCTTTGATGAGGACGCTGAATTCGCACTTGTCCACAGAAATTGGGGTGAATTCACGAGCAATTGTGCCATCTTCCGACCTGGAAAAATTTTACACCTACTTCTTGGCTTCGTTCAAGAACAAAATTGTAACATGAGGGCACCCAGCCGTAAAAGCACTAGCATAATAAACCAATTCGTCAAGTGTCCCTAACCAGACTAAACATCTTAAAATATCTGTACTGTATATAGCCTGGGGTGCACTACCTTTCTCGACAAATAAGATGATCTCCAAGACACACATTGCTGAGAGCGACGTTCCCAGAAAAAGAGAAGATCTTCGTATCACTCGTATCTTCAGAAACTGCGGTGAGGACGAATTCAGAGTAAACATCTTGCGAAACTTCGTCACATGATGAGACTTCGCCACCTTGTTCCCAAATTCGCAGCTCGTTCTCGTAAACATCAAACACGCAACTTTTGCAACCCTGCCCACAGCATTCCTCGGGTTCCGGTTTCCGAGGTGGCACGGAATCAAGTTTCATATCAGGACTGATTTCATGCCACACATGTACTCCTTCGCGTGCTAGCACTGGCCTAAACATGCCTAATGCAATTTCTGAAATGCCTCCATTACATAAGGGAGACGAAGAAATAGTTGTGACGTGAACACAAATAAAATTTTTTTTTTAACTATACAACAAATCAAAATATTCGTAAGCTATCCTTTATCAAAATTTTAAAACATATAGAGTAAGGTCAGCATGAGGCAAAAGTTAGTTTGAGGTTTATGTACTACACTGTTTACTCAACTTTCACCAATTCCTGTCATATGGTTTAAATACATGCATCAGCCTTTTATACAGTACTGTACTTACATTACCTGTACATTGTACTGAATCTACACTCAAGAAACCCAGAAGAAGCTGCATGTAAATGAGAATATTAAATTTTTGCATTATTCCGTACGTTTTGAAATCTTGATGAATTTTTTCAATATTTATCCTGTACGATACTGTACTAAACAGACCCCATTTAGCCTTATGCTGGACAGAACTTCTGTATGTGTAGTTGTCAGTGAGAGGCAGTTTCCATAGCTTTAACAACCTTTTTCGCGTAATAATTTTTGCTGCAAGATATTCCATAAAGATTGTTGGTGAATAGTGAATACCTGATTCACGATACTTTTTGCTGTGACAACTGAAAGAGCCTTGCCTGAATGGAAATCAGCTCCTCGTTGATGAGTGTCCACCTCCCTTTTCGGAGGAGTCGTTCAGAAAGCCCGCCGCTCTCGCCGATTCGCTGGCTTTTGCCGATTTCCTCAGTGGTAAAGATCGTTGAGGATACTTCACTTGCGCTTGACGAGTATTAGCTTGTGTTTACTGAAATGTGAAGACTGAAGGCGGCAATTCTGAAGTTGTGTTCGGAAGAAAAAAAAACTTATTAGACATCGTGTTAATCATTTGCGATGGCCGGCGGACGCAGGGGGGCTGCCGGTAGAACGCCTCCCCCCCGAACTTTCAGTGAAGATGCTGACCGATTGAGTGCCGGAAAGTCTTCAGGGTTCGTATAAATCTTGTCCAATCCTGGGTTCTTTTTTGCTCTTCAATATTCATGATCCGTGTATGCAGACGATATGTGGGACCGCAACATGTCACGATGCCAAACATTCCTATGGACTCGAATCTCATTTTTGAGTTCATGATGTTTTGCTACACCATGGCGGCGCTTTTTCTCCAGTATCTGCATCTGTATCGAACCGTCTGGTGGTTACCTCATTCTCACAACAGCCTTGCGATGGCAAGTCATTCAGTTTTAACGGTAGTCAAATTCATTTTAATGCGGGAAGTGGCTTGATCTTCGACTTTTACCTTTCAGAACTTCTACCTGATTGATCCATACCTTGTGCTTTTCATCGCTACTGTCCTGGGTCGGCGGTTGTTCTGGACGCTTGTTACTTCTTTCAGCAATTCCCTTTTTCCTAATTTTGCACGAAAGTATGCCGACAAGACACTCAAGTGAGTCCTCGTTGAATCATGATCCCTTTGAATTTCTGATTCCTGGTTTGTTTGCTTTCTAGGACATTCGTCGTGGTTTGCGTTGTGATCACCCTCCTTCTCTGCACGTACCAGATCTTTCAGAATCATCCGATTGTCAATTTCTTTTACCTGTGTTATCCGTGAGTTCAAGTGACTTTCATCTCAAAATTATGATGACTAAAAGGGTTTTCTACAGACTTTCAGTTTACTTCATTCTGTTCTGGCCGGATTTCATGGCGTTCTTCTCGTTGATTCCGTACTACGAGGTACCTGGGATCAGGTTAGATGACTCCCGGGCAAGTACGTTTTTTCAGTTTACTGGAGAGATCGATTAGAGTTGAAAATTTATTCCAGTCGACAGACGGAAGATTTGTTTTACCTAGGGAGCGAAATGATTTGACGAGTCAAATTGGTGTTTTCTTTTGGATGTGCGAGAAGCTTCTAAAAATTGTTCGAAACAACGTAATGCTTGAAGGTTCCGAATTAATTTTTGTTGTTGATAATGTAACTTTTCTGTTGAAGGACCACATCGACCATTGTATCATTCGTGTGTTGGCGGAGCAGAGTCCATCAGAGACGAAGTGGATGCGTTCAAAACAGATTTCAACCTTCGAATGAAGCAGATTTTGTTCAACTCCTTGCTGAATGCGTACTACGCCGGCTTCGTGCCTTGTTGTTTTGCCCAAAATACGCTCCACTACGATGTGTACTGGGTGACCCAGCACTTGGGATGCGTTTGGGTCAGTTGTTTTAATTGGTACATCGTCCAGTGTTACCCGCCGCGGTACTGCGACTTGTTGCACAAGACCGCTTTACATCTCGGCAAATGGATCAGGCTGGAAGGAAAGACTGCACATTTGCCATATACGCAGTGAGTATTGAAATTCGCACAAGTTCCTGCTTCTCTAGCCAAAATTTTGTATGTGACGATGGACAGAAGTGATGAAAAATTTGAATCGAAAGCGTGCTAGCAAGTGCACTGTGCTTTTTTTTTAGTTATTTGAATATTAATTTTGTTGCCCTTCAAAGCGCGAAAGAAAAGGTTTTTCAACTACGAAATTAACAATAACGAAATTCAGATTACGTCAGGAAAATCGTCCGTTAAAACAAATTCATGCACAAGAATTACTTGTGTTCGGTTCTATTTTGATTGTTCAGGAATTGATGGTCGAGTCCACTTGTTTGAAATCAAGCACTTCTGGATTGTAATTCTTTGAACTAATATTGCGGCTTGAAAATGATTTAATATTCGCGATTATTGGCGGACATTTTGAGAATATCTCCATTCTTTGTATTAGGTGGACAAGTTCAGTGATCTGGCCTCATGGATCGCTGGTGAAGCATTCAAGAGAAATCTTCAGGGCTGAAGGAGTCTCCAATGCTGCAGTTCCTGGAAACTCGACTCATTCTCGTTTTTTCGTGAGTTATATTTTCCTCCTGGTTTGTCCCATATTCATTTTTGATAATTGATGGCATTTTTAACGTCTCAGATGTTGTTCAGCAATCCGTCTACTTTGGCCTGTTTGCTGCTGTCCCTACAAAGCTTATTGGTCGTGGCTCAACTGTTTTCCCTGCTGAGAACGTCTGAGTGGCAGAACATAGTTTCCGTGGCTTTACTGCTGTTCGGAAATTATTACATTCTGTTCAAGTTGTTGCGAGACTACGTGATAATGTGGAAAGTTTACAGGGCTGAACAGCTCATACAAGACACCAAGAACTAAGTTTTTGTTTGTGAACCAGTCCTTTTCAGTTTTGCCATGAAGTCTTTTGTTAGGTCTGTGATTGTGATGCAAAGTTTGACCTGGAGCTGTGATATTTATTTTTTTGGATTCTTCCTTTTTGGCGCTGTCTCGTTTGTAGATGAATACTTTTTTGAAGGGCGAATACTGTTTTTAGTGACGTTAGCCGATGAAGAAATAACCAATCTAGCAGAAGCTCGTACAGTTGAACCTGGATAAATCGAACCTCCTTATGTACAATTTTATCTCAAGTCTCTGTCTGAACTCCCTTAGGAAAAAGGCATTAAAAACATCTCTAACTCAAAGGTTTTCACCCTTGAACCTCCATAACCCAAATTTTCTGGGGATCTTTTTGAATATTATTTTATTTACGCAGGAAGGAGAAAAGCAATAAAAATGTAACTTGAAAGGAAGGAAGTATTCGTAATAACTTCCGTGATCATATGGAGTATGCATAAAATTGCAGGGACAGCTTCAAAGAGGAAACATCTTTTGTATTTGTATTGTCTGGTTGTGGTTTAACCTTCAGACATTATGGTAACCATGTACATATTTTCCCAGGTCTTCGTTTTCCCTGCCTTCTTTTGCTTTTCTCTATGATTGACTCGAGGTAAAATTTCCAAGTCTCGGAGTGATAAAAATGCCGGATGGCATCGCGTGAACGCCTTTTTACTGGACTGAAGTCGTGGGAGGTTGAGCTGTTGGAATACGCGAGGCAGAAACATCCCGGGATGCCGAAATTGCATTCATCTAAGCCGAATTTCTGCCCAGTTCCAGTGTCGTCACAGTCGTCTGCAACGTTCACTTCGAATGGACAAAGTTACAGGGCTCAGACGCTGAGTAGTTTTGCCAAATCTTCACGACCCATGAGGGGTCATTCTGATCCATTGACCTCGGTGAGTTTCGTTTCAAAATATGTATGACATCAGAGTTTATCTCGTCTCGCAAGAAAGGCTTTTGACTATCTTATCTTGAATATTATTTCTTCACCAAGTGAAAAATTTCGTTTTTTCAACTTTCGAGAAAATCACAGCAGTAATCATTTCAGAATCATTCCCGTAGCGAAAGTATTTATAATTTTTTGTTTTGTTTTTAGAAGATACTACAGTAATTTTGAGCTTCTTGTGTTGTAAAAACTGCTGAAATTTATGCTTTTGTATTTTGTAATAACCCTTTTTTCATCTGAATGTAATACTGTATCTCGAAAAATTGGGTATTTGTGCCCATTTCTTAAATGTACTGTACTGTATTTTAAATTTTGGAAAATTTTTTCCAGCGATTTATTTTACTGTTACTTCATGCCTTCGGTTGTATAGAAAACGGAATTTCGTCATATTGATACTGAATTAATTTTCCGGAATAATTTATGAACGGAAAATTTCGTTGTGAAATACTGATAGTGACGAGATTTATATATATATATATGTATTTTTTTTATGGCAGGTTAAAAACAGTTCGACAGGAAAATGTTGCCCGAGACAAGTGGCATCTGAATCAGATTTTACTGAGGAATCTGCGAGTGATTTGTGTCGGAAGTTGTCCCGAGTTTCCTCGGAACTTTGTGGAATCGTCGGAGAAATAAGTAAGAAGGAGATTTTTTCAGTTTTCGAAGGACATGGAGGAACGTTGTTTCTGGTTTATTTGCAGCCGACGATCAGTTGAGGGATAAGGTGGCGAGATTTTGCGATGAAATTGGCGGGTATGTGTCAGAAGAGCGTTTGAGAGGCAGTTCGAATGAAATCCTCGCGTCTTCCGCGATGCAGAAGCAATTGGAGCAGATTATGGAGATTAAAGTCGCTGTGATGGAGGAAAATCGACGGCTTGCGAAGTAATGCATTTCTTCTTTTGTTTCTTGGTGAATATCATCTGATTTAACCTATTTTTATCGTTGGCAGAAAAATTGGAAAGTTGGAAGAACAGCTGAAACGTACAGAACGGAATGAAGTGGAATTGAAAACTTGTGTAGAGAAACTGAGGGTTGAGAACAATCGACTTCAACAGGCGAGTAATTTTTTTCCCACTTCTTTGCGTCTCCGAGTCCCTTTCAATTTGAATATCCTTTTGATATTTATTGCATTTTAATTTTCTCCGAGATATCTTCGAAAAGGTTCTGCGAGTTTGTGATATTAATAAGGGTAGGCTAGAAACGTATTCATTAAGCTAAAATTCACTTTTATTTTTATCTCCTTTTATACAGTATGTAAACTTGTCTCAATTCGGTGTCGTAATTTTACTAGCTATAATTGTAATTTTCATGCGAATTTCGGGCTATACATTCATTTTGTTTGACTATTGAATACAGTATTGACCGTTTCGGAAATATTCTGATGCTGTACAGTACAGTAACATTTTGTTACATGGATCGAAGCGTTTGGGACCTTAGTAAAGCTTTGTTACGAGCAAAAGTTCGTTATAGCGAAATTAAATTACATTGTGGCTATTGGACAGAGACAAAAAAATTCGTGTTAACGAGATTCTACCGCGTGGAGAATTGTTGGATCGAAACACGTTTGGAACCTTTGAAACTCGATTTCCATCCACTTGAGATCGATAATTTTACAAGACTTGCATTTTTTTTACCCATAGTCCCTTCATAAAACGAGAGAAATTTATTTTATTTTGTTTACCGAAGAACTCAAGATTTTTGAGTCATGGAATTGTTTTCTTTGCAGGAAAAGCCTTCAGGAATCTCTAAATTGGAGAAAGAAATGCAGGCACTGAAGGAGGATAATAAGCGAATGAAGGACCAACTCCAGGCTGTGATGGACTCGAACAAGAGTCTCCAAAAGTGTCTTCAAGAGAGGGAAGCTGAGATGAAAGACTTCAAAATGAACTCTCGGAAAATGGTTGAAGATTGGATGCATTACTTGGAACTTACTGCTTGCAAGTCTGCTTCGCAGTTGACGGTTTCGTCGAAACCGAGTGTTGGACGAGAGTCGAACGGAGTTCGAATACTGGTGACCAAGTCTGCGGGTGACCGAGAACCGAAGGTAGGTTTCGATCGTATGCGCTAAAAATTGTCTTTGTCAAACGCAAATATACAATTCGTTGAAATTTTTTGCCGCGTCTTTGAGAAGAAGAAAAAAAGCTCTATCGAAAATTGGCTGATCAACCCCAATCTGATCCTCACCCCAAATTTGAGGAAAATGCCAACGAACAAGAAAAAATCGGGTTGTTTCCTAAAAATTATCGATTTTCTATGCATTCTTCTCAAAACACTTTGACTGCAACCAATTTCTCGGCAGAATAGACTGCGTGAAAATCAGTCGTCATTTAAGAAATGAAATGTATTGTGAAGTATGACTGCCATCATAATTTTTTTGAAATGTATCGAGACTTTTTTGATATTCTTGAACCTGTGTGCAATGGTACGATTTGTAATTTAAATTATTTTCAAAGACAAAAGCCAACCGAGTGGAGAAGAGCGTGTCTGCGATCGCATCTACATCCACGGTCGGATTCGACACTTGCAGAAGTGCGTCTGTTCGAGGAATGGAGGCTGATGCTGAATCAGAGTCTGACAGTGAAGCCCTGTCGACTGACACCGATCATGGTTTACATTCCGACTTTCAAACCAACTTGCAAGAGATGCACGACCACATGAACAAGCTCAAGGAATCTCTCGGTTCTCGACTCCACTGATGATGATGATGATTATCATGATGATCCTCAGTTTTTTCTTCCCGATGTGAAATAGTCGGGCTGTGATGATTTTTTTTTCATGTTCTGTGGACTTGATCGGCGTGTTTTTTTTTCTGATTTGTGCGCGAAGACAATTTTTTAGTTCCTCAACAACTTGGCTAGAGTTTCTTGACCTTAATATTATTTTGAAGAGGGTCTGGGATCATTTTCCATGAATTTGAACTTGGTCGCCTGATAGCAATGCAGTTCCTGTAAAGTTTTGAAGATGTAACCCGGTATAAGTGGCCTTCCCCAGCTGCACTCGAAAAACCACGAAGAAATTGCTGTAAAGATAATTTTTTGTAAATAAATGCTTATGCACCAATAGAAGGTAAAAAAAACAACAAATAAATTGTTTGGAAAACGTCGTTGTAGAGGAAATTCGCATAAATTGATCTTTTCTTCAAATAATATATAATGAAATTTTCCAAGGATTTTTTTGCTGTGATAGAAACATGCAATTTTGCTGGCTTATTTTGAGAGTGAGTTGAGTTCCCTGGGGGTCGAAACACTATTTTTCTCACCTCCTTGCAAAGTAGAGCTGATGTTGAAGACATTTTTGGAAAATGATTCAAGTTCCGCTCTTGAAAATTTCACGAACTTTGAGAAATGGCATCTGGTTGATATTATTTTTTTTTTAAGGAGAAATGTTCTCAACTTCTTTGTTTTTGTCGTTTTTTAAACAGGCTTTGACGCATGAGGAATTAAGTTTTCTTTTTGTACTGTGATAACGTTACGCGAAGATGCGTGTTGAGAAGTGCTACTTCTGCTCTTCTCCACTCTGGCCAGGGCATGGGATTCAGTTCGTGAGAAACGACTGCAAGGTTAGTAATGTACTCCAATCAGTACTGTACTATCATTTCAAATATAGGTACGGAAGTTGGAACTTGAAGTAAGTAACGCGGCTTAAACAAAAAAAGGGACTGAAAGTTATCAAAAAATACATTGGAAAACAATTTTTGGAAGTTTTTGACGCATGAATTTAGTGCAGAGCCGAGTAGATGAGAATTTAAATATTTAAACCTACATTTTCTGTTCGTGGTACTACTGCAAACTAACCTTCCTCTTTCAAGTATCACGTGGTACAAAGAATTAAATTGAGGATAAATGCAGTAACTTTGACCTCAATAATGAACACCGCAACCCGATGGAACATGAATTCAAGAGCTGAAGAGTGTTTCGTGAAAATTTGGAAACCCAAACAATATTCTTTGTTCTTGGATTTGAATTTGAACGAGTGCATTGCTTTAAAAAATTTTACACTTTCATCGCCGTTACTTTTAAACTCCTGAATAAAACACGTGCCCAGTTGTATACTTCAGAACTATTCTGAAATTAATGCGTTTCGAATGTCAATTTTCGTTTAGATCTTCAAATTCTGCCGGTCCAAGTGTCACAAGAACTTCAAGCGGAAGAAGAACCCGAGGAAGGCCAAGTGGACTAAAGCTTTCCGTAAAGCTAACAACAAAGACCTCGCTGTCGACCCTTCGTTCGAGTTTGAACAGAGACGAAATGTCCCTCTCAAGTACAACAGGGAATCCTGGCAGAAGACGAGTAAGTTTTCGTCTAAAAAAAAAGAAGAAGAAAGAATCCACTACGCAAAAAGCAGCTGTACCCCGGATAATGGACTTACGCCTCCCCTCTTCCCTTTTTTTTTGATTATTTACCCTCTGTTTCGGATGATAAATTAATTTGAAAAAAATAATATTGTTCTTCAAGAACAATGGATGATATGCCGGGGGGAAATGTGGCTGTTGGCAAAATGTTTCCAGTAAATAGCAGCTTTTTTTTTTATAATCCCCGTTCTTTGATGCCTTGTTTCTGGGGTTTTTACCGCTATACAGTTCTACGAAATTCTATTTTAAACACGCAGTATATTATTATTTTTTCCAATGCATTTATCTTTTAGTATAAAAATTCCCGAGAAAGAATTGATCCATTCGTAAGCCGTCACAGGAATCACTAATTGAGCTGCACTCTTTTGATGAATTATTTTGGAACTCAATTGAAGTGTACGTTTCAATCAATTATTTTTCGCAGTTGAAACCATGCAAAAGATAGACGAGATCAGACGAAGACGAGAAGCTAGACACATAATGAACCGACTGAAGAAGGGCACAGAGATTGAAAGGGAGCAGGACGTGAAGGATGTGGAAAGGAACATGGCATTGATCCGGTCTCCTGCAGCTGGTCTCTTGGAACAACGTGCCCTGGAGGAAAAAGTCGTCGAGCATATGGAAGATTCCGAAGCAGAATCTATGGAAGCTGAGGACGAATAAAAAGGAAACAAAAGATTTCTCATTGCGTTATGAAAAAAAAAAAAACACGTTTCTTCACTTCATTTTCCTGCTATTTGTTAATGCTGCCCGTGTCCATGAGCAAGAATTCCGAGGGTCTTGCTTCGAAAATGGCATCTTGAAACACATGATCTAAATCGCAACTAATCTTCCCTAACGAATATGTAACAGTAGCAACCCGGAAATCCCGCTTTTTCTAAAAAATGAGACAAAAATTTGGTTTAATTTTCCGTGAAAAAGAAAAGCGTAAAGGCTTTTTTTGTGTGGAATTTTGCCGGTTTATTGTAATTTTCTGTCATTTTAATGGATGCTGTAAACCGAATGCCGTCTAGAACTCTATAAAAATTATTCGTGCCGTAAAAACTTGAATGAATATTCAAAATTTGCCTTGTGCTCATTTCATTTTAAATTTATCTGGCCTAAATTCGTAACAGCTTTTGTCAATATTGACCCGAGCTTCTATTCCGAAAAGTGTCTAAAATTTGTACTGAGGCCGAGTTCGTGAATGAATCATGTTTTAGGGTATTGCAGTGAAATTTACATCTTAATTCCTTGGTAAAAAAAAAACAACCTATTTAGGTATAACACTTGAGCCGTAACTAAACTGAATTGTTTCCAGTTTTAAATTTGTCACTCCGAAGCTATTTTAAGATTTTTAACGGATGAAAGATGTCCATCTTTAGGCCCTTTTGAGGGGGCAGCTTTGACAAAAAAAATCATTTTTCCATCATTCAAGCGTCGTTCGAAAAATAATTCTTTTGTATCATTATTTAATTTTTTGTTTTCTTTTAATCCTCAGGAGTTCTGTGTATAAAAAACTGGAGGTTAAGCGAAAATTGGGAGAGCTATCGATGGATACTAGCAGTGCGAGTGGGGCTTCGTCTGAAGCGAGTTCATCTGCGGAATTGGGCAGGCAGGCGAAAATCGCGAAACGCAGTTGGGAGGCGGCGAATAACATCGAAGTGGTACCTTCCACGTGGACAGATGACATTTTCCACTATGACCGGAATGAGCAGCAGCAGATTCTTGCTGCAAAGCCCTGGGAGAAGGAGTAAGCTTACTAAATCAATCATTACCATGGGTTGAAAAGAAAAAAGAAAATTGCGAAAAAGCGAAGACATGGGATTCACAGAAACATGATGCATAACAAAAATTTTCGAATCAAAAACTCGTTTCAACGACAACGATTTTGTTTTTTGGTCCCTGCCCAATAGCCACAAATTTCTTTTGAATTTTTGCGAAAGGAAAAAAGTTTTATAACTTGAAGATTTTTCGTTGTTGGACAATAGTTTGATAACTGAGGGGTTTCTTTGCCTAAGGTTCACTGTGAAATTATTTTAAATATTTTTCATTAGTGGCTCTGTTGTTCAGTGATCTCAAAAAATTCTTGATGGCATTATTAAAAAGTGTGGGATCACGTTTTGTATTTTGTTGTGAAATATCTTGAACGAATCTTTCTTTATATCAATAGAAAAAAATTTTCAACCGATTGGCAGTGGAATTTTTTTTGCATATAGGCGGAATGTGTTCTCGTAATTTCTAAATAATCCGACGATAATTGAGTGCGTGAGAAATCAGTTCTGTGATGTGTTGATTTAATGACGGTGAGCGTTGATTTGAATAAATATTTCAACATATTCGGGCAATAATTGAGTGAATGATGAATCAGTTTTGTGTTGTATTTATTTATTGACGTGAACGATAATTTAAATAAATGCAATGCCAGTAAAAGAAAAAAAAGCCCAATTTTAAATCAGCAGTGTCTTTGTTGAGGATTTATGCTCGTTCCATTATGAGCACGATTTACACCCTGATCATGTGCTGATGTCTGTTGTGTTTCTACTCTTCCAGTCCGCATTTTTTCAAGGACATCAGAATCAGCGCCCTAGCTTTGTTGAAAATGGTGATGCACGCAAGGAGTGGAGGAACATTGGAGGTCATGGGACTGTTGATCGGGAAAGTGGATGGCAACTGTATGATTGTCATGGACTCGTTTGCTCTGCCTGTGGAGGGCACAGAGACGAGAGTGAATGCTCAGTCGCAGGCCTATGAGTATATGACTGCTTACATGGATGCTGCCAAACAGGTTTGTAGTGCTTATTTTGCTGTTGTCAGAAATTGACGTGGAGTTCGAATCAAAATATCCTTTAAAAGTGTTCAGCAGAACCAACTTATCTTCTAAAAAAAAAATAATCGAAGGCCATGTTGCAGGAATTTTAAAAATTGCGTTGGATTTTTTCGGTGTTCTCCTTTGTGAAGTTTTTGAGTTTTGAAAAAAAAAGGAACGTTGAAGGATCCTTTTCCGCCGAATTAAGGAGGTACAGTACATGTGGACTCTCTCTCTAAAATTAAATTCAGGGTACCAGAAAAAATTCGTTGTAAATAAAATTTTGTTGAAGGAAACCTGTATACTTCTATATGGTGCCCTTATATGACAAAAAAAAATTGTTGAAGAAATCATTGTGATCTGTAAAATATCTTTGCTTAAAAAAATTTTTGTGAAGTAAGCAAGTAACTCAAATAAAATTGGGGATATAGGGCGGGTACCTTTAAAACAACTTCGTTTCAAGCGATTATTCGTTATAACGAGATTCTTCTGTACTGTTCAATATTTTAAAGTTATTAAATATTTTTCAAAGAATTCTCGAAGCTTGCTTTGATGAAAAATTGCGACTTCGTTGTAATCGATTATTCGTTATAGCGAGATTCGTTCTAAATAGAGAGAAAATCGATGGAGAGAAAGTCAATGTGTATTGACCTTTTGCAAGTTTATGCTAGTATTAATTTATTTTTTGTTCAGGTTGGCAGACTGGAGAATGCGATTGGGTGGTATCACAGCCACCCAGGGTACGGGTGCTGGCTGTCTGGTATTGACGTGTCCACTCAAATGCTGAACCAGAACTACCAAGAGCCATTTGTGGCTATCGTCATTGATCCCACCAGAACCATTTCAGCTGGGAAAGTGAACCTTGGGGCATTTCGAACCTACCCCAAGGGCTACAAACCCTCAGATGATGGTCCACCCGAGTACCAAACGATTCCTCTGCACAAAATTGAAGACTTTGGGGTTCATTGTAGGTGAGATGCCGTTGACAATTTTTCAAAGTTTCCAGAAATTGGTCTTTTAATGAACATGTTTTTTTTCGTCTTCCCAGGCAATATTATGCACTGGATGTGACATACTTCAAATCTTCTCTGGATGGAAAACTCCTGGACTCACTGTGGAACAAATACTGGCTCAACACCTTGTCGTCTTCTCCTTTGCTGACTGTGAGGAGATTTTTGAAATGCGTCGATTGGTTTCTTGAATTAATTTTCATGATTTGCAGAATGCCGAGTACACGAATGGCCAGTTGGCAGACTTGGCAGATAAGCTGGAGCAAGCGGAGAATCAAGTGGGTCGCTATTTGGTACCCTACGAAAACTCTGACACCAGAAGCAAAACTGAGAATAAACTCGAAAAGGTGTCGAGGGATTCCAGCAAGACTGCTATTGAGTCTCTGCAGGGTCTCATGTCTCAGGTTCGTATTCATTCATTCGATGCCTGTGACAGAGAAGACATTGTTTCAACATGATTTGTGTTTCTTATTTTTTTTCTCAGGTGATCAAAGACCGGCTTTTCAATCAAATTGGAAATCGCGGAAACGGGCCACAATTGACTCTTCCTGTAGAGAGTCAACCTTTGGCAGCGACCAGTGACGACGATGGGGGTCTGAATACAGCTCTGGAGGCTGTGTTTGGGTTACTTGGTGGCACTAAAGAAGTCTTGAGCCAGGTTCAGTCCTTGGAGAAGCCGAGGATTGAAGAATCTATGGGAGTTGTTCAATAATTCTCCATTTTTTTTTTGCTTTGTGTATGACGTGTGTGTGAGAAAGTTGCAATTTTGCGAGGAAGAATCCCGTGTTTTAAGATAATTTGGGTGTGTCTTTTTGGAATTTTTACTCTGGTGATGGTGGGGGGATTGTTTTTTGCGTGTTATTGTGAAAAATTTCCGTTTTTTTAATTTGTGTTTAGATGGAATTCGCGGATATCATTCGTGTTCCGAAAGTGGACAAAGTGGTATTGCATCGCGCATTTCATGCTTCGGTTGATGGAACTTTATGCATTACTGGTCACCATTTGATACTTTCTTCCCGGAGGGAAAGTCAGGAGGAACTTTGGGTGAGATGGATGACAATTTTTTCTGCAGGTGATGATCAAAACTTTTAATCCTTTTTGAAAAAAAATTTCGTGAAACAGATTTTACACAAAGCTGTGGACACGATTGAGAAGCGGTCCTCGGTGCAAACCAACACTGGTGTTCTTACCTTGAAATGCAAAGACTTTCGCGTGATTTCCTTGGAGATTGTGGGTCTCGATGATTTCAACGCGGTTGCTTCTTCGCTGGAAAAGCTGTCTAATGTTGGTGAGTCTTTTTTTTTAATTCTGTGATGTTTTTGAAAAGGTGTGGAATGGCTTTATTGTTTATTTTCAGCCGATGTTACCTTTATGTACCCATTTTTCTATCGGCCAATGTATTCCATTTTGGAGGATGGTTGGGGAGCATTTCCTTTGGAAACAGAGTATGCGAAACTGGTTGGATCTAGAAGTGATGACTGGAGGATTTCTCATGTCAACAAGGATTTTGAGGTAATTTAAAGTGGAGAAAAAACCTGAGAGTCGAACCTCTTCAGTCGAATTCCAAGGGGCCAGCAAAAATTCGAGTTCGGTCAAACATTTTTGTTGGGGGAAAAAAGAATTATAAAAAATTGAAATTAGTGATATTCTTGGCCTTGAATTGTTTCTTGAGAATTGAGAGAATGTTGAACTTGAAGGCAAAGATTCATTCGCCAAATTAGTATCTCACTTCCTTTCAAAACGCATCAAGGTACATTTTTCTTGCTTTTCTCTTTCCTCTGTCAATAAAAAAAAGCCAAGAGGCCCCAGAAAATTTTAGCTTTGGAGGTTTGGGAGGAAATGCCTTCTAGTTAGAAAGGTTTTTAATGCATTATTTCTGAAGAAATTCGGACTGGGTTTTGACAACATTTGACAAGGGGAGGTATTTGACTTACAGAGGTTTGAGTTATTGAGGTCCAATTGTATTTCAAAAGTGTCAGTTTTATGTAAGTGGTTTTGTTTTTCTCAAATGAATTGAACTTTATTTAGGTGTGCTTGTCATATCCTCCACTGCTGATTGTACCAAAGAGTGTGGATGACCAGAATTTGGCATCATCTGCTGGTTTCCGTCTTGGAGGACGTTTTCCCACCCTTAGTTTCTGTCATCAAGGAACTGGGGTAAGATTTTCCTACATTGTGTTGAGTGGAGTTTTCGAATCTAAGCTTTTTTCTGGCTCGTTAGGCTGTGATGCTCAGGAGCAGTAGACCTTTGTGTGGCCAAGGACAAACTGTGAAGCGTTGCAAAGCTGATGAATCCTTGCTGAATGCAGTGCTTACTGCTGGCAGCCGGGGTTATGTGATTGATACCAAGCTGCAGAATTTGGCACAAGCTGCGAAGGTGTGTTTCCTCTGACTAAACTCCTGAAAGAAAAGGTTAAATATTTATATATATATTTTTTTCCAGTCCCGTGGGACAGGGTATGAGCAAGAAACGTATTACCCCCAATGGAAACGGGTGCATAAACCCCTGGAAAACCCTGCGGGTGTCATGGAGTCCCTGGCCAAGTTGATGGACGCATGCAATGACACGGGAGCCAGTATGGACAAGTGGTTGTCCAAGTTGGACGCTTCTGATTGGATGGGGAATGTCAAAGAGCTATTGACTGTTGCGTGTCTCACTGCTCAATGCATGGACCAGGTCTGTGGAACTTCAAATAAAATCAATTCAATAAAAAAATATATCAAGTCACGTTTCAAGAATTTTTGAAAAATAGCTAATACAGTAACTTGAAAAATACAGTACAGTAGAATCGCGTTATAAGGAATAATCGGTTAAAACGAAGTCGTTTTTTAGGTCCCTGTCCAGTAGCCACGAGGTTGAATCTTGAATGAATTGTTTTATAGCGAAATTTCGTTTCAACAAGAATTGAAAGTATGATGGGTTTTTTATGGGATGCATTTTTCGGCTTATTTGCAGGAAAAAGCTTCAGTGCTGGTACATGGAGGAGATGGGCTTGATGCAACTTTGCAGATTACGTCATTGGTGCAGATAATCCTGGATCCTGATTGCAGGACAGTTAGAGGGTAAGTTTTTGTTTTTTTTCGAGATTTTAAATTGTATGATAAGTTGGATGTATTTTTATTTTTTCAAATAGATTTGAAGCGTTGGTTGAGAGAGAATGGGTTCAAGCAGGGCATCCGTTTGCAACCCGAAACTTTCGGGGTTGTTACGCACAATCTAGAGACTCTCCAACTGGTTCCTTGTCCATGACCGGTCACGGAGGCAACGTTGCTTCGCCAACTTTCCTGGTGTTTTTGGATGCCGTGCGTCAAATTCATTCCCAATTTTTGTGCAGTTTCCAGTTCACTGAGGACTTCCTTTCTCTGCTTTTTGAGCATTCTTATTTCTCTCAATTTGGTGAGTGTTTTGAATTTTTAAAAATTATTTTGGTGACTGTGTTATTCATGTAATGTAATTTACAGGTACATTCCTGTGTGACTCGGAGTTGGACAGAAGACATTTCAAGTTGCATAAGAAGACAGTCAGTCTGTGGTCTCACGTGAACAGACCTGAAGTATTGCAGAATTACCTGAACCCGCTTTATGAGCCGAATAACAAAGTTTTATGGCCGTCTGTGGCGCCCATGAGCCTAGTGAGTTTGTTTATAATTGAGTAAATAGAAAAATAAGTAGGCTCTCATTTTTTGGAGTCCAACGATGCATCACGGGATTTTATGACAGTCAAGGTGTAGTTGAGACTTGATGATTCGTATTATTTTTTAAATTGTTGAATTTATGAGGCACATGAGTCATCGTGTTCGAATTTTAATCATCAGTTGGTGTTATGCTCTGACTTTTGATTGCATGTATTGCTTTCTTGAAATTGTTGCGACTGGCTTGAAATTTTAAATTTATTTTTTGCAGAGTCTTTGGCCATCAGTTTACCTCAGATGGATCAGCGGCACTGTTCCCGACAAGACCCGTTGGAGAGCCATGGCGGAATTGAAGCACAAGGAATGTGAACTCAGATCAAAAGCTGCTCGTTTGCGAAAGCAACTGCAAGAACTGGAGCGTGGCATTTGTTTGTCTAGTGAGGAAGAATAAACTTCTTCCTTTTTTTGTTCCTATGCGCTAAATATTCAGCGAGACATTTTTTCAAGCGTCAGTGTGATTTATTGATTTAAGTGTTGTGGTATTTGTGATCGCATTCTGGAGAATAATCATGACACTGATTCTTTTTCTACATCCGTGGTCTCCTTTGATGCTATTTTTTTTTGTGCCTTTGGCGAGTAGTTGATAATGAAAATGCGCATGTTATCGAAATTTTTGCCTCTGTCAGCACATTGTGGGGCAGCAGTGTTGAAACTGTGACTTGTTCCAGACATTATGCTGTAAGCTCTGAAGCATGTATTGGTGTTCCGTGTTCTTACTCACCTTGGTAAGAGTCGGTTTCGAGTGGGACCATTTTGTGGTTTTTCTTGACAGTGTTTTTTTTTTTTGCAGGCAGTGAGTGGGAAGCCGGTGAATGAAGATGGGTGTGATGAGCTTGAGTCTGTGCCAGTGTCGCCAATTTTGTTGCCTTACACGAGCCTGACGTTGGATGAAGCGCGAAGAGGTGTGACTGGGATTAACAAGAGGGATTCTGATTTTTTGAGGGTGAGAGATCCGTGCAAAAGTGAGTTGAGTTCCTTTTTTTTTTTTTTTTTTGCTTTTCCTCGTCGGGAGAGAAATACTCGTGGAATTCTTGAAAGCATTTTTGGCAGTTGGTGAATCTCGAGTGAAGAATTTTTTTTTTTTGAGACACGGAGTTGATTTTGAGATTCTTCTCCCGCTTTTATTCTGTGGATTTGAATCACGAGTACATTTGCTCCTGTGAAGAAATTGGAGGAAAGTTCATCATTGTCGATCTGACTTCGTCCGCTTTTAATGGTTGACCTTTTTGGGATTTTGAGATCCTGACGTTCGCAACATTTACTCTTTGCACGGTTGAAATATCGTATGGAGAATTTTTTTTTTGAATCCGGATGTGATGAAGGGTTTTCAAAATCCCTTCACATGTCGAGATCTGCTTTGTCTCCACTCAATTTTTGAATTTATTTTGTGAGACTCGAGAAGTTTTACAGTCATGGTCCGTGAAACTTCACAATTTTTTGTGATTACTCTACTAATTTGATGAAGTGTTTTAAAATTTCTTCAGATTTCGAGATTTGCTTTGTTTCGACTCAATTTTGAATGAAGTGTTCTCTGAGACTTGGGAAATTTTCGAATTTTTGTGAAACGTAAAAAAAAAATTTCCAAGTGAAAACGAATTTGTTGGAGAGTTTTCAAAATTTCTTTAGATTTCGAGAGTTTCTGTGTCTCAACTTTCAACGCAATTTTTGAATGAAGTATTTTGTGAGACGAGGTGTTTTCCAATGAAACGTGGCCAAATTTATTTAGAGAATGATAATTTTAAAAAGTCATTCAATCATTCTTTTGAAAAGGGTCTGTGGACGTACCAGCAGCGAAAGATGTTGTGCCAGAAGGAAAGAAAGATCCTGGACCAGAAAAGAAAGATCCTGGACCAGAAAAGCCGATTCCACAGACAGAAGAAACACTTTATGCTGCTGCCAAGAATTCATCAGAGTCCGCCATTAATCCTGACATCAAAATTGAATCCGAAACATCTCTCAGTGCCGCTGGGAAGAATGAATCCGAAGCAGTTCCAGAGATCAAACCTTCCCAATCCAAGAATGGCGAAAAGCAACAAAGATCACCTGTGGCGTCTGTCATCCCCAAGAGTACCAGAGAAGATTACGATGAACTTTATCAGCCACCGTATGCTAGACCAGATTTCAGACCAATGAGTTATCCCGGGGTACCAATGAACCCATACAGGGAAACCCAAAAACCCCCTTTGCCTGTGCGAAAAACTGGTGTGAATTATGGTGAGTCAAATTTTAAAGGTAATACACTTCGGTTTTTTGTTTTCCAATCCTGTAAAATTCTTTTTCCAGGCAAGTGTAAAGAGGGACATTTCAACTGTATCACAGATGCTCATTTGAAGTGTGGATCATATGGCAACACTGTGCATCTCCAGTGAGTTTTAAACTGTGAGCCAAGGCCTTTTTTTCACATTTTTAAATCCTTCAATTGCCCCAGGTTTGCCAGAGAGTTCAAAGGAAAGGTGTACATTGCAGATAGGTATGACTGCATGTTGTACTCTGCCACAGCTCAGCCTTACATGTCAAGGGACATACAATTTACCCTGCATGAAAGAACTTGTCCAGGGTACACAAAGGGTTACCAGATGCGGGACATGAAGATTATGGTCCAGTTTGACCCTACTTTTGTGTCCAAGGCTGATGTCAGCTTCCTGGTGAAGTGTTACCAGGGGTCCAAGCAGGACATCAAGTTTGAATACACTGTTGAGGAGCCTGGTACCATCTTACTTGCAGTGAGTTTTGTGTTTTTAAAAGTTTATTCCAGTGTTCCCCAAACCCTTTTGAGCTCTTTTGGCAAATTTCTATAAACTCCTTTGCAGACAAGCCAAGTTCTATGAAAGTATTGCAGACTCAAAAAAGCTTTGCTTCAAAGACTTTATGGCAGGTATTTGAAAAGTGTATGCTTTTTTGCAAAAATTGAGTTGGGAACCAGTGCAGCAGCTACTGTGGAATGTCTTGAAAAAATTAGAAAGGTGGGGTTGAAAAAAGGTTTCTTGAAATTAAAACTTGAGATAATTCATTCATTTCAGCAGGTGAAAATTTGTATGAAGTTTCATTGGGAGAAAGCCAATTTTTATTTTTCATCAGATAATATCAGCTGCTAGTGTCTTTCCAAAATTTCAGGTATAGATAACTGACTTCATTGCTACTTCTGATGAATTTATTATGCTAAAGAGCATTTCCTGCAGACCACTGGTTGGGGAACACTGGTTTACTCACTTTGAATGATTTGAGTGCTGCAATAATATGCATGGCACTTGAATGATTTGAAGAGGTCCTGAGTTGAGTTGCCAGTGGCCTACCATCAGCTAGTTTACTGCTGGCAGTACAGGTGACACTTTTGGTGCCAGGGAGAGACACAGCAAGCCTACTTCACTGTCAAGATCACCAAGGGAGAGCACCCAGACTCACCGGGTTTAATGGGCAAGGTGTACCTCGGAGAGATCCTTCATTTGCACGTGGGTGTGGAGAAGAAATACGCCAAATTGGCTGTTGATGTCGCTGTTTGCTGGGCTGTCGAAGCACCTCCTAGGGCCAAGTAATCAAATCTCGATTTAATTTCGATTTCATTTGTATTATCAATTTTGTTTGTACAGTATTATCATCAATGTTATGTGTACTGTATTATGAATGTTATTTGTATTATCAATTTGTTTTGTATTATCAACAATTTTATTTATATTATCAACAATTTTATTTGTATTATCAATAATTTTATGTGTATCAACAACAATTTTATGTGTATCAACAACAATTTTATTTGCATTATCAACAATTTTATTTGTATCATGAACAATTTTATTTGTATTATCAATTTTATTTGTACAGTATTATCAATTTTATTTGTGTAATCAATTTTATTTGTGTAATCAATTTTATTTGTATAATCAATTTTATTTGTATAATCAATTTTATTTACATTATAAATTTTATTTACATTTTTTATTCATTGTAAATTTATAATCTTTTTCTACGCAGGCATTTGCAGTATAATTACAACAAACAGAGGTACTCTGAGACGAAAGTTCAGATGGTGGATCACGACTGCTCGAATAAACCAGAGTTTTTGGGCAATTTCCAAACGTATGTCCAGAATTACGGAAGAAGGGCCATGATTTACAAGACAGCCAAAATGAAGGCATTTCGTTTTCCGACCTCAGACACGACGGTTCTCAAGTGCAGGGTCAACTTGTGCTATGGGAAATGTCCCGGCGAAAGAAAATGCAAGCCGTGAGTCGTCTCGGTGTATTTAGACAACTTTTGTTTCGTTTTTGAATTTTGTTGTTGTTGTTGTTGTGAAAAATAGGGTTTATTTGAATGCGGACACGGCTCAAGCCTTGGCTGTGAAGCCAGCGCGGAATTTATTGGGCCAAAGGTACCCCAGGCAGGTTGTTTGGGATGATTTCGCCTTGGAAAGTGCGACTGTGGAGTATCCGAATGGCACCACTGTACCGACTGAAGTGCATCACATTTCATTCGACCTGGGACGATATTTGAATAAGATGCCAGGAGTGCTCAAGTTTGCCTGATTGATTTGATGGGAAAGAAAGAGAGACGCCGTTTCATAGAGCAAGATAATTTTTTTCTTCATTGCAATTTGCATGGACGTGTGTCTTGACTGAACTCATCAATGGGCAAGTTCCTGCTGTGCTGTGAAAATGTCTGCGCTTGGGATTCCCGCTCTTTTAAATCCAGATGTCTTTTTTTGCTATACAGCACTATATATTATAGTAACCATGGCGTCCATCCGGAATATGCTGACTGGGTCGAAAAACTTTATTTTTCGGATGCCCCGAATGCTACGATGGATTTTTGCCGAGGCACAGTTGACTTTGCGGGAGGATAGTGGACTGGAGTTGACATTGTGGAGAGCTCGTTGCGAGTGAGGAAGAAATGAGGTTCCTACTGGCACTTTTGTGCCTATGGGTGAGATCCTGATTTTTGTTGTGTTCAGTTGTATCTCAATGTACGAGATAAGGTTAATTCATGAGTTTTGAGACTTTTTGAAATAAATCCGAAGGAGTTACAGAACTTCAAATCCCTTTTTTTTGTTTTCCTCGCATAGCCCGTCATTTGGCAACACTTGAGTGCTTGAACATACTCCGCTGATTTCAATGATTTTTTTTCTTGCGAGATAAATCTGACGATCAAAACGGTGCAAAAAATCGAGTTCTGTTTTTTGATGAGGAACCGTGTGATTTGTGGCTGTTTCCAAAAATCAACAAACGTCCTGAAAGGAAACAATTTAGAGGACAGGGACAGCCTCATTTCTGGCTGCAAAGAGCAGCTTAATCGAATCAATTGTTGACACTGTTTTGATCTTTGGATTCATTGCACACAAAAAAAGGATTGAAATTGGTGGAGAGTATGTTGAACAGTGCTGAAAGTGTTGCCAATAAATGATGTGGCTATGTGAAAATTTTTGGAATGGTTGAAACTCTGTTGGATCTATTTCAGAACTTAGGAACCAACCCTTGTGGTTTTGTTGATTGTGGATGGTAATTTTCCTTGTTTTTTTTTTGCATAGGCCTTTGTTTTGGCTGCACATGGAGATGAAGATGTGGCTGCTGCTGAGAATACTGAGAATGTGGAATCTTCTGAAGTAGAGAAAAGAGCTGCTTATGGAGCACCTGCTCCTCCATCTTACAGTGCTCCTGGTTATGCTCCTCCTCAGTATGCTCCCCCAGCATACAACCCGCCTTCCTATGATGGTTATGAAGCTGAAGAGGTGTATCCTGCTCCTAGCTACGCCCCTCCAGCTTATGCTCCACAAGCTTATGGTCCTGCTCCAAGTTATGCTCCACCAGCTTATGGTCCTGCACCAAGCTATGCGCCACCTGCTTATGGTCCTGCTCCACCAGCTTATGGTCCTGCTCCATCAGCTTACGGTCCTGCTCCACCAGCTTATGGTCCTGCACCAGCTTATGGGCCTTCCCCCTATGTGGACACTTATGATTCTGCCTATGAGGACCCTGCACCTTACCAAGCCCCTGCTTATGCACCTGCGCCACCATCCTATGGTCCTGCTCCAGCATCATATGGTGCACCAGCTCCAGCATCATATGGCGCACCAGCTCCATCATCATATGGTGCCCCTGCTTCATCATCATATGGTGCCCCTGCTCCATCATCATATGGTGCCCCTGCTCCATCATCATATGGCGCACCTGCTCCAGCATCATATGGCGCACCTGCTCCCGCATCATATGGTGCACCAGCTCCAGCATCATATGGTGCACCAGCTCCATCATCATATGGTGCCCCTGCTTCATCAGCATATGGTGCCCCTGCTCCATCATCATATGGTGCACCTGCTCCATCATCATATGGTGCCCCTGCTCCATCATCATATGGTGCACCTGCTCCAGCATCATATGGTGCACCTGCTGCATCATATGGTGCTCCAGCACCATCTTATGCCGCAGAGACATCTTATGCTCCAGCACCTGCAGATTATGAAAGCCCTCAATATGCTGCTCCATCTTATGGTGCCCCTGCTCCATCACCATATGGTGCCGCTGCTCCATCATCATATGGTGCCGCTGCTCCATCATCATATGGTGCCGCTGCTCCATCATCATATGGTGCCGCTGCTCCAGCATCATATGGTGCCCCTGCTCCAGCATCATATGGTGCCCCTGCTCCAGCATCATATGGTGCCCCTGCTCCATCAGCATATGGTGCCCCTGCTCCATCATCATATGGTGCACCTGCTTCATCATCATATGGTGCCCCTGCTCCATCATATGCTGCCCCTGCTCCATCATATGCTGCTCCTGCTCCATCCTATGGTGCTGTTGCCCCATCAACATATGCTGCACCTGCTGCTCAATCTTATGGTGCTCCTGCTTATGCCCCAGGAGGTATAGTAATTTTGTTGTTACTGTTTGAACAACTGTGGTAGAGTTGTCACCATGAAAGCTTGTGTGTGTTCTGGTTTTTCTAGAGTACGTGCCTGAAAGGAACTGCAACAAAAACCATGTCAACTGCCTTGTGGATGTCAGATTGCAGTGTTATGGAGATGAGATACAAGTGGAAATGGAGTGAGTTTTTGCCAAAATCATTTAGTCTGAAGCATTTTTGCAGCCAGTTCTTGTATTTATTTTTTATTTATTTTTATCCTCGTCTACAGATTCAAGCACTACTTCACAGGAGTCATTTATTTGTGGAACAAGTATGACGAGTGCATGTTGTACACTGCTGCCAGCTACGGAAATGCAGGTGGCTACGGAAACTATGGCGGAGGCCAAAAGGTGGTCAAGTTCACATTGTCTCCCAGAACCTGCCCTGGGTACTCGAATGGCGAATACAGCAAGGGCACCTACAAGGTCATGACCCAGTACGACCCCATGTTGGTGTCCCACGAGGATGTCAACTTTGAAGCCAAATGCGAGCAGTACAATGAACCACCCAGGGTCCTCAAAGTGCAGTACACCACGTTGGACGCCAAGCCTATTCACCTCACCGTGAGCTCTTATAAGGTTTAAGTCGCCTAAAGCTTTTGATTCTCACGCAGCATTTTCTTCTTCATTTTTGCTTGTGTTTCAGGGCAAGATAAGGAATGCCAAGTTTGAGGTGCATATTCGCAAGGGCTGGTCTGTGACTGACCCCGTGCTGTATGAGCCTGTGAAGATGGGAGAGAAGTTGACCATTCATATTGTCATGAAGGCTTATGCTCCGAATCTGAGTACGCAAGTGTCTGGATGCTGGGCTGTTGAAGGACCAACAACTTAGTGAGTTTGAATGCAGTTGTCCCTACCCATGAAAATGTGTCAAATTTATGAGGTATGAGCTACAGAAATCCTCAAGTAAAAAACATTAAAATGTATTTTAAAGAGATTCTTAGTTACCTGCGCTGCCAAGCCAGTATATATTTTAATTCTTAGAATTTGAGGTGGGTTTTTGGGTTGCAAATAACTTTTTCTGTAGAATTTAACAAGAGACTAAGAGAACTTGGTACACAAGTTCTAGACCAGTGGCCCACAGACTAGCGCTGGTCCTCAGAATTTTTCTATAGGTTTGTGGGAATTGCATAATAGCATAATAAATTGATAAAAAATAATACCAAACTATGTTAACTCATGGTCATCTAAAATTTTGGAAAGACAATGACTTCTGAAATTATGTGATGGAAAAATAAAATTTTGCTTTTCTCCTAATCAGACTTCAGACAAATTTTTTTGGCTCCTGGAATAAATTAATTAAATTTTTCTATTCTGAGAAACCTCCCTTCAAGCCCACCTTTCTAATTGTTTGATGGCATTCCGAAGTACAGTAGCTGCTTCATTGGTTCTTAATTTTTGCAAAAGAAGCAGAAACTTTTTGAATACCAGCCACAAAGTCTTTCTAGCAAAACTTATTTGAGTCTGCAGAAATGATCAAGACTTTGCTGATCTGCAGAAATCTTTTTGGATATTTGCTGTTCAGCAAACATTTTTTGATAAATTTGCCAGTGTGAGGGCTCAAAAAAGGTTGGGGGAACACTGTTCTAGGCACAAGTGCTACCAATTTTTGAACACTGCACAAGTTTAAAGCGACTTGCTCAGTGAAAGCTTGAATTTATTGATCACAATGTCTTGATTCTTGGTGCCTTAGTGCAAGTGTAAGTGACATATTTTATTTTTCATTTTTTGCAGTGACAAGAGTTATAATGCTGGTGGTGGTGGAGATGGTTACAAGAGCCAGTACCCAGCAGCTACTGGATATGGTGCCAAAAAGAGCTACAGGCAAAGTGAAGTGTATCTCATCAAGGATGGTTGCTCACTGAAACCCAAGGTCATTGGCAACTTTGTGGAGACAATCTCTTCTTACAGCTATGGTCTGACCTCTTCCTCTGTTGCATACCTGAAAGCTTTCAGGTTCCCCAGATCCAACACTGTGATGATCAGGTGTAAGGTCAATGTGTGCTATGGGAAGTGCCCTAATTATTATCCTTGCAAACCGTGAGTACCATTTTTTCATGATTATAAGGTTGTTATTTTATGACTATTCTGTGTTTGATTCCAGGGCATATTTGAATCCTGATTCTTCTCAAGCTTATCAGAAAAAGGCAGCTTATGGTCCAAGTTATGAGGCTGCCTCATATGCACCACCTGCTTATGGTCCAGCACCTTCTGCTTATGGTCCAGCACCTCCTGCTTATGGTCCAGCACCTCCTGCTTATGGTCCAGCACCTGCGGCTTATGGTCCAGCACCTCCTGCTTATGGTCCAGCACCTGCGGCTTATGGTCCAGCACCTCCTGCTTATGGTCCAGCACCTCCTGCTTATGGCCCCGCACCTGCTGCTTATGCTCCACCTGCATATGCTCCTCCAGCATATGCACCACCAGAATATGAAGCACCAGCAGCTTATGCTGCTCCTGCTTATGCTGCTCCTGCTTATGCTGCTCCTGCTTATGCTGCTCCTGCTTATGCTGCTCCTGCTTATGCAACTCCAGCTTATGCACCTCCTGCTTATGGACCACCAGAATATGAGGCTCCATCTTATGAGCCACAAGCATATGCACCACCTGCCTATGCACCACCAGCCTATGCTCCACCAGCTTATGGTCCACCAGCCTATGGTCCACCAGCCTATGGTCCACCAGCATATGCTCCACCTGAATATGAGCCTCCAGCATATGAGGCACCATCTTATGCCCCACCAGCATATGGTCCCCCAGCCCCTGAGGCTTCATATGGTCCACCCCAGAGAAAGTACAAGAGAGATCTGGCAAGAGTTCTTGACTCTTTTGTATTTGAGCATGCGTACAGTCTCAATGATGCTGTTGGAGAAGAGGAAGTTGAATGTGAGTTGATTATGTTGAGTTTTTATTTTATTTAAAAACTTATTTGTCATGGATGCTGATTTAATTCTGGTCATATTGTTAAGTAATTCAGTTAATTCTGTTGATTAGTTCAGTCTCTCCTGTTGAGTACTTCAGGAAATTCTGTTGATCATGATGATAATTTCAGTAAATTATGTTGATCATGATGATAATTTCAGTAGATTATGTTGATCATGATGATAATTTCAGTAAATTATGTTGATCGTGATGATAATTTAAGTAAATTATGTTGACCATGATGATAATTTCAGTAAATTATGTTGACTAATCATATCATTGCCTTTGATTAAAATTTAAAAGATTGATATTGCATTTACAAAATCCTATCATCCTTTGATTATTTCTGCTACCCTTGAAAGAACTCTAGAGTGGAAACATATAATTTCAGGCCTAACTTGAATATGGAACAATTATTTTCAATTTTTGAATTTTGCCACCCTCTTGAAGAAAAAGTTTTCTGCGTATTTTACTTCAGCTGTGAGGATGAGGAGAGATGCTCAAACCCCCACCATCACACTGGGAGACACCATGGCATGGGCTGAGTGCCAGGACTCCTCTGCCATTTTCTCTGTGAGCAATCAACTTGGCTTCAATGGCACCATTTCTCTGGCATCTTGGAGCTCCAGAGATGAGCACTGTCATGTGGAAGAAGAAGTGGTTGAACGGAGTATGGCATCAGTGAGCTTGGTCAAGTCTGACGAAACTTGTGACCCTTATGAGAAATATCTGGTTAGTGTTTTTCTTTTCAATCCCCTATACTTTCTCTATACTAGGGTGTTTTTTCTCATAATATTTTTCTATACTCAAGTTTGTGGCCAAAGTATCTGATGGTGGTGAAACCAAGGATGCTGTCCTAGATTGTCATGAGGATATTATGGTCATCAAGAAAGAGCCTGGAACCTCACAGGAAGAAATACCTGATATGTACAACATTGTTGATGTGTGACCAACATGATCCTTTGAAATGAAGCATTGCTTTGCAAATTACAGCAGAAGCTCATTTACATTTTCTGTCATTCAAGTGTAAAACTTTGCAGCATCTCCCAGCACACAATAATAAGTTACACTGGGGTAAATATTCTCCCATGTGTCTGGGTCATAAACATGTGGTCTGATTGTGACCAAGTTGTCAGAGCTGCTGATGATGATGTCTGTTGATGTCCAGTAGTACCTCCCATCATATTGATTCTTCTCCTTAGCAACAACAGCTGCATAGAAGAGCTTCCCTGTGTCATAAATCAACATGAATTTAATGAGGCTTTTCCTTTAAGGAATTTAGAATGTAAATTTAAATTGAAATGTATGCTTACCATCAGAGTCTGTGTTGACATCATATGTCTGCAACAGGATTCCTCCCATTTTGGCTGACCCCACCAATTGGTCCCCTGTGCATTCAGTGAAATCAGCTTCCCAGGAAATATGTCTTCCCTGAAGAACAGCTTCTTCAATGGCCAGGAAATTTTCCAATTCCACTCTGTGAACATTTCATCAGCTCTTTATATCATGATACTGACATCTCAAATTGTTGGAATGAATAAATTTTGATGCTTCAACTTCTAGCCAGCAAATTTATTTTGATCAGAATTATAAATTAATCCAACACTATTCGAATACTGTATTAGGGTTTTCAAAGGCTCAAATTTGTTTTGCCTCCTTTTGAAGAAGTACCAAGAATACTTCAAGTAGATGATTGTCATTATTTCTGTAATTAGATTTTCTGGCTAGCAGTTAAAGTATCAAAATTTATTTATTCCAATGATTTGAGATGATGCTTATTCATATGAGTCCCACACATATTCAACTTTTTGTCAAGATTCTGCTCACTTGTGTATCCCTGAGGTGTAAAACTGCACTGCAGTTTCTAGAGGACAAACGCCTCTATTCGCATTTTCTTCATTGGTTTCCAAATCAAGTACGTGCATTGTCCATACCAAAGAATTTGTTTCTAGAATCTTGTAATCTTCTGTGACCAGGTTGTGGACTGGAAAATAAAGCATTATTACCCCTGGTGTGAATTCAAGGTATAGATTCCTCTTACAATTGCTGAAAACATCCATTATTTCCAAGTAGTTCTGTGGTCCTGAAGCAGTTGGTCCCCACCAGTTGTAATGAGATATTCTGTGGCTATGTAGCTGCCAAAAAAAATGGTTAAGTTTGTTTGTATGATGGTATTGGAATTTTCTCTGGAAAAATTATGATCTTGAAAAATTAAATGAATTATTCAAATTGCCTTGATTGAATTTTGAATTTGACTCACTGGTAAACCAATGATTTCTTCATTATCCCATTGGCATTGAAAACCATCAACCACCATGGTGATGTCTTCTGCCCTACCCAAGGCCTCAAAGACCTCAGTGTAGGTCTCATATGTGGTTTCATTCCCTTGAAATTATCATTTTATTAGCATAGAATTCAAAAATAATGCCATCAAATTCCTCACCTGGAGTTGAAAAGAACCTGATGCCTTCATTCTTCAGACAGGTGAGGGAAATTGACTGCAATAGATCACCAGGGTAATAATATTCTCTCAACTGTACCAAAATTGCTGCTGCAGGTGAGAGGGAGTCTGACATGATCACAGCACTTTGAACAGCTGCCCTTGAATTGTCGTCAGGATTTGGCACAATGGTCCAGGGATGGTAGATCATGATCCCACCTATTTGCAAAAATAGAAAAAATGCTTAAACAAGTAACCATTTCTTTCATTCCTATCTGGAAAACAATCTGAGAGCTGCATATATTGGGGCATTGAGGCTAGCTAGTTACAAAACTAGTTACTAGCCAGTTGGAGACAACTCCTCATGGGAAAATTCAGCTCCAAAATGAGTGAAAATATCAAATAGCTGTCCATTAATTATGGCCTACCGTAAATTAAATTCCATTCAGTGATGGAGAATCCAGCAGCCTCAAGATCACTGTTATGGTCACAAGAAGAGAAGTTGGCCACCACCAAGACCTCTTTGCCTTGGGCCAGGGCATCAAGCAGTCCTTGGTGATCACCTATCTCAATACTACCACTCATTTGTTTTATTGAAGTGTTCTTGAATATTATGTGGAAGAAATTTACTGTTGTTGAATGGGATCTCTTTTGAAGTATGTGACACCATTATTCTCCATTCTGCATTCCCAGGTGCCATGATTCTGCAGGGTCATGTTGATGGCTGAATATGTATGCAGCTCCAGTGAGGTGACATCATTGTCATACAAGGTGAGTGATGTTGAGACCCATGTTCCAGTGTCTGAATAACACAAAATGCTGTTAATAAGAAAAAAAACAAACAGGCATATATTTTCATTGTTTTCTTTTTATACCATCTAAGAAGACCTGTTCATTTTTCAGAAAGAACCAGCTGCTGGTGTTTCATCTGATCTTTGGATCCTCCATGATGTGAACTGCTCTGTGAGAATCTAAATGCTGGAAAGTGAGTCTTTTATTTTTCTTTTGATAAAAAAACATGAAAACTCACCAAAGTGTTCACTGGTGGATCTCCAGACACAAATGTACACAAGGTGATGTCCACAGTTGCTGCTATGAGGCCTGTGTTACTTGTCAGGATAGACTGAATCTCCTGGAAACTCTGCACAACTGTAAATGTGAGAAAGATCACAAAATTTTAATTGTTTCCTCTTCTGCTGGATTCAAATACTTACTTTCATCTGAGCTTGCTGTGTGGACCAGGAGAAGTATTATGAATGTTGTTCTTGCATTCATATCTGCTTTTGACTGAATTATACTTTCCCTATAGGAAACATGGTGACCAGCATTATCTGTATGAGTGCTTATCATGTGGGGAAACTTGCACCTTTTCACTGGAAAAGTGTATGAAAAAAGCATAGGCACAATATGCATGGGCATTATCTGAGCCTGTTCTTTTATCCATCCTCAATTGTTTTTCAAATTTATGCAAAGAATCTTGCAGTGGTGCCAAGGTTGCACTCATAGTAGACACCAGGCTGAGGGTTTTCCCAAGTGCCAGCATTGAAGAATGCTGGGATCACAGTCACAGTTGGTGTGGACTTCAAGAAGAATATGTTTATGGAGGACCAATAGTAGTTGTTTGCATCATCCCTGTATACTGAGGTCACTGATGAGTAGAATGCCCTGTCTGGAAAAATCAAGAAGGTGAATCTAAAATTTTCCTGGCTCTACATGTGCAGTCTAACCCCAAGTTGCTGGTGGCTCTGAGCAAAGATGGCACAAAATCAGGGGTATTTAATCAGAAGAAAATTATTTTAGGGCAACCACTACACATTATTTGAAACAGGTTTTATTTTGCAGAATTGTTAGGCCATTGAGTCTGTTTTTTTCAAAAGAAAACCACGCAAAATAATTTGAGCTTCAAATTAACTGAATTGACTGGAATTAAATTGTGTTAAGTATAACATAACATTTTAGATTTTTGCACAAATTGGCTGAAGTAAAAGAGTGGAACTGTGTCTTGCATTTTTTTTATCAATCTTTCAATGAAAGCACAAAATTCCAGGTGGAGTGATTTTTAAAATTTTTAGAGACCATCTTAGTTATTGAGAATTTTTTTTGCTGTGGAGGACATTCAAATGAAACCACCCACTGACATATAAATTCAGAGATATAATTTTTAAAATTATCCTGAGCATGGGCATGTGATTCTCAGTGATAACCTAATGATATTTAAAAATATATGCTTCTGTTTCTTTGATTTTGTCATAAATTTGTCCAGGACAGACTTTGTTTTGTTCCACTAAAGTGAAGGTTGCCTGTATATGTATTAAAACTCATAGATGTGGAATTAATACCATTGTTTCCTTCATCAATGTCCAAAGTCTGCAGGAGACTGCCTCCAAAGATCCCTGGAGGAGGAACTGTGACTTCACCATTACTAATGCATTCTGGGACAATGACTTCAAAATTCACATGCCCTCCCTGGAGGATCACTTGCTCAATTTCATCAAATGTTGTCAACTCAGTCCTGTTTTTGAGAAGAAAAAAAATTGTTTTCAGAATCAGGAATCTTCTGAAACAGTCATGCAGCAACTGACCTTTGGTCCAGTTCAGCTCTGAAAAGTGCTCCTGTTCCAAGTGGGCAAATTGCACGGTCACTGGTCTGCTCTCCAGTGATTGGGTCAACCCTGTAGAGATTCCAGACTAGTGTGTCATCCTCCAGGACTCTGTAATCCTCATCCACAAATGCACCAGTTGCTATTTATATAAAAAAATGTAGTCCCCCAAAAAAATCATCAAAGACTTCCAGAGTTGTCCATATAGAAATACAGTTGCTTACGGGCTATCAAAGCATCCTGGAACTCGATGTAGTTCTGAGGACCTGGTGCTGAAGGTCCTTGCCAGTCATAGTGGTAGAACCTGTGACCATAGATCTAAAACAGAGATATTAAAAATATATATAATGTTTGACAGACTGGCAACAGTCAGAGGAATAGGGGTTGGGTTACACTGTTCTAAATTATATGCTGAAGACTTAATAATCTGGTTGGGATTCAAGTAACAAAAACCCTTTGCTCATGAGAAAATTGTGACCTGCATATTTTAAAGCTGAATTGAAAAGTGATCCTGATTGATAATAAACTTATACTTTTTTTTTTAAATTTTTCAAATACAACCGAACAAGACGTATGGCAGGGATTCTAGAACGGACTCTGACTTGAATAAAAGCTTTATAAGAAAAAGTCTATCTGTTATTTTCAAAAAGTCTCGCGTCGCCAGCAAAACGCTTCTCCGCGAATCAAGGAGTAAAAGAACTCCAAGAGTAAGACACTCTTTACGTTCCCCTAGTTTATCTTTAGTTATTCTAAATTAAAATTAAGCTAAAATAGGATAACAAATTCTAAATATTTCTAAAAGTTTGAATTTATTTACTCCAGCTTGTGGAAACAATGAAGGTAACATCCATATTCTTTGTTATATGTGTACTCACAATGTTGAACTGGTCATCATCTCCATCCCACTCACAGTACCTCCCAAAGATCATTGCCTCCAACTCATGGGCAGTAATCAGACCATCCAAGACTTGCTGATAAGTCTGATAAGTGGCCTCTTCAATGTCTGAAAATGAAATTCTTTGTTGTCTGCATGGACCACCTTGAGTGTTTATTCTACGTTTTTTTTACCAAGATGTGGAGCATAGAACTTCATGGAGGTGCCAAGTTGGCAAGTGAACTCCTGGTAAGGAGACTCATTGTTGAACTGCATCAGGTCCAGCAGAGCATTGGAAATGGTGACTGTGCCTCCTTGGTCTCCCCTGATGAAAGCCATGGCTGTTGTGATTCCATAGTCACTACCTTGTCCATCTCCAGTGTGGATGAACTTGTAGGGATAAAAGATCTCCAGGACTTCATCAGTTGACCCTTCATTGAACAAGAATGAGGTCCACTGTTACACCAAGTGGTGTCTGATGGTCTGCATTTTGGTGAATGGTGAGTTCAAACCTTTTTGTTTTATATGAGCACTTTTAAATTTGGCAGAGTGCATTTAAGGGATGTTTTGACAATTGGAGTGTGTAGAAAGAGATATGATACAGTAAAATATATGTTACAGCACAATATATGTTACAGTGCATATACAGTATGTTACATATACAGTATGTTACATATACAGTATGTTACATATACAGTATGTTACATATACAGTATGTTACATATACAGTATGTTACATATACAGTATGTTACATATACAGTATGTTACATATACAGTATGTTAATGTTACATTACAATATATGTTACATTACAATGTATGTTACATTACAATATATGTTACATTACAATATATGTTACATTACAATATATGTTACATTACAATATATGTTACATTACAATATATGTTACAGCACAATATAGAAAAGTGTTACAGCACAATATAGAAAAGTGTTACAGCACAATATAGAAAAGCGTTACAGCACAATATAGAAAAGTGTTACAGCACAATATATAAAAGTGTTACAGCACAATATAGAAAAGTGTTACAGCACAATATAGAAAAGTGTTACAGTACAATATATGAATTTTCAGATGTGCAAAATATGAGATTATGAGTTATACTCACCAAGTGGTGTCTGGTCTGCATTTTGATGAACGGGAGTTCATGTAATTTTTTTGAGCAGGTGTAAATTTGGCAGAATGGATTGAAGGAATTTTTGACAATATGAGTGTGTATGGGATAATAAAAATTTTACTGTGTGAATATGCAGAGATGAAAGAATAGGGAAAATGAATTTTTATACTCACCATCCCTGTAAACCTCCCAGTCATCAATGTAGAACCCAGCTTGCACAACAGCTCCTTCAATTGCTGGTGAACATTGTCCCAGATCCAAGATGGCAAAAATGTGTCTCCCAATCACCAAAGCAGATTTCAGTGAATTGTAATCATTCAAATCATCACTGTGTTAAGGTTTAAAGCCACTGGTTATTAATTATAGGCATTTTATTTTGTTAAAAGTTGAACTCACTACTCAACAGCAGCATCCCTCACAAAGTATGTGGCTCCCCCTGTTGGTCCCATTTCACATTCATAAACCACATCAAAAATGCTTGAGAGGTCAAGCCCACTGATTATATGGAGTGACACTGTGGTGATGTCATTTGCTTGGAGGTTGGTCCTGAAAATATTCCAGTACCCATCAACTGCAATGGTAGAAATACTTGTATAACTTTTGCCTGGGTGGGCCAAGTGAACAATATTGTCAATCACTTGCCATCCAAGAAGAACTGGTCACTAGTGATGTAGCTTTGAGTTGGATCAGCTTGCACATTGATGATGTTCCAGGTCCTGAATTGCTCAGTGACAATCTGATCAAAGAAAATGATTTCAATCTTTAAAAAAAATATTCAGTTTTTTTTTTGAATTTGTGTGAGCTCACCACAAGTGTTGGTGGTTCTGGAACATTGTTGGTGCACTTGGACAAGTCAATGACTGCTGATACATATCCATGTCCATCAGCAAGTGTTGTTCTCACTGCTTCATAACTTGACAAGGCTTTGAAATAAATTTTATATGTGCAGTAGATTTGTTGAATGCAGTACAGTATTTTATGAAAGATGAAATAGACTCACTTTCTTGTCCACATGCTGCTGAAAAAAGGAGAACTAAGCAGATTAACTTTTCAATGGTCTGCATGATTTAAATTTCAGCAGAACTTGAGCCAGTTAAAGTGAACTAAATTTCAATTTTGAGTTTAACATTCTTTAAATGTGACTTTGTTATCAAAGGTTTGAAATACTGTTGTGTCATTTAACATTTGTGCATCAGGTTTTGGTTCTCATCAGGTGATTAAATTCCCATTTCCGCGTTTTCACTTCCATATATTGTTTTATTGGGAATTTATAACCATTATATTGCGAGAATATAACGCGTTTATGATAGGGTGAAATTATTTTTTAATGTCACTTTTCGGTTGCCATAAAAGCTTTGACATACTTTTTTTCCAAGGATGGTTGTAAAAAAAAGAGAACATGGCTGTTGTGTCTGGAGAAAGCCTTGAACTGTGGATAATCAATTCTTCCAGGCCAGGGGAAATTCCCCCCACTGTTCAGCTTTCCAAGCATTGGCTCAGTTTTCTTTTTCACTTCAGTCCTCTTGCACTTGTGAAAACGATTTCTTAAATTTGAACTTATGTTCAAGGAGAATTGGCAACAGTGCAAAAAATAATTTTTTATACATTCTCAGCATGATGAGGTAAATTTTTTTTGTAAGGGGGGGTTTGTTTTTGGTCAGGACTTCTTCCAAGGCCTGATGGTTTGTTGTTGCTCAACACAGTGATCTGGTTGTGCAATCATGTGAGTAACTTGAGAAGAGGAAATTTTCTGAGGAAATGTTGGGTCATCATAGGGAGCCATTATTTATGTGGGGTTCACTGAACTGCTGGTGATTCAACTTCCTGTTGCTTTTTTTTTTTTTTTGGTGGTGAGGAAGGAAATGCAGTGAGTGGGAACAGCTGCAGCAGGATTTTCCCAGATGGCAGTGATGATGCAACTTTGATTTTCTGGCTTCCAAGTCCCTTTTTTCTTGGCTTGAGACTCTGCACAACACTGGTATTTTTGAATGCAAACTTGGCTCAGGGATATTGAAGAAAAAAGTTCAATGTGATTTTAGTGATTGACTTTAGTTGGAAACTTTATAAATTTTGAAAATAGATGCAAGTTCTCAATTTATTATTGAGATTATTCTCTGAACTCACCTTCTCATTGTAGAATTAGTGCTTCATATTTTAAATGCACTTCTTGCTCAGATTTTTTTTTGTCTTGAAAACAGTTGTATTGATTTTTTAGAAGAATGAGTTTGAAAACCAGTCAGTTACTAATTTATCTTTTTCTATTGGTCAAGTTCTTATGTTTGATAAATATTAAAGTTAGTCAAATCCTATTTTATAAATAATTCATATTTAAAGAATTAGTGCTCAAATTTCATACAATAAACTACTGTACTGTTTCAAAAATGATCAATCAATTTCTTCTACCAAAAATCCCCCAAGGAAACAGGGATGTCCTTGTGTGAAGTTATTTTCATCTATTTGAGTTTCCTAATCTTGTCCAACCTGGTTTTCCTTGGAAATTGATACTTTTTAAAAATTTTCAGCATTCTATAATTTATTTCTGTGAAAAACTTAAATCTTACGGTTTTAGTTTTTTTGGGTTCACTATAAATTTAAAATCTGTGAGTAAGAGAAAAACTCATTATTGTGAAACACTGGGAGAACTTTAATTTTTTTTTGCTAGATTATTTGTCTTGTTTTTATAAAAAAAACATGTGTAAATCTGCTTTGATTTTTTACTTATGCAAATTTTACTCCTTGCTGATTCCATCCTTTTGAAATAGAAGAAAATACTCCCAACAATTCATCATTTTTTTAAATAACCGCGAATATATTGGCTATGTGAGAACAACTGACAAGATCCTGTTGGAAATTTAATGTTCTTTCTGTGTGAACACGTGTAATGACATGCACTGCAGTGTGAGTTTTGTGTTAATTTGCATTCCATTGACAGTATATTTATACTATGAAAAGAATCAATATCCTATTCTTCAAAAAATTCGAATTTTTATTTACATTTTATATTATTTTTTTTATAGATTATTGAATTTTTTTCTTCTTAAAGTACGTTTGCTTTTTTTGTTTTTCCTGAAAAAGGAAATCTTATAGTATCAACACCAACATCACGCATCATTGATATCAATACTGTACAACGAAATTCGAGGGACCAGAAATTTTTTTTATCGATTATTGAATTTTTTTCTTCTTTTTAAAATATATTTGTTTTTTTTTTTTTTTCTAAAAAGGGAACCTTCTTGTGTCAACACCTAAATCACGCATCATTGATCTCAATACAACGAAATTCGAGGGACTAGAAAAAAATTCCTTGCAGAGAGAATTTATTTGCAGAGAACCACTATAACAGAACCCTGAGGTACCCACGAAAAAAATAATATCGTTACACAGAGAAAATCGTTGAAAAGAAAGAGTCCACCTTTATATATACTCGTGTGAGAATATTTTTGTTATTCGAATTCGGAATCCTAAAAAAGAAAAAAACTAGAAATGAACGCACAGTACTGTACTTCTACGCGTATAGTGGATTACCACACTTTTCCTTCTATTTTTTCCTTGGCTGTCGCGGCGTTTGGGCAACCAAGACGGCGCACGTCTTGATCAAAAAGGTCGCTTCCAAGTCCAGTCCGCGGACTGACCAAAGACCCACGGTTCTTTCGGTCAGTCGGGTTTCGGAGCTTGCCAGCGTCGGTTGCTTGAGCCTCCTTCTGAAGAATTTATTTTGTGAACTATATGTAGATTTTTAAAAAATATAGCATGTACAGTATATATAAAAAAAATAAGCGACAGTGAGTGTTTCGGAAGGTTTTTTCATCGTGTGATGAAGTAGTGAATACAGTACTGTACTGTACGGTGTGTCTGTTTTTTTATTTTTGCTGGAAATATGGGAGACTTCGTCATTTTTCCGAGTCATCGGGAATAACTGGCCGACAAACGTTTATTTTTCGTCGGTAAATTTGACTTAATTCCAGTGGTAATTCCAAAGAGTAGCCGAAAAAAAACGAAGGAATATGAAGAGGAGAAGAAGGTTTTCCGTGTTTAAAAAAAAAATTTGCCAAATGGAGATGGAATTTTGAATGTATGTACTGTTCTGAGATTTTTGAAAATTTGCAAGAATTTATAGTGGATCAGTTTTCAGGATTTCAATCATCAGGATTCGAATTTGGAAATTACTTGCAGACAAAAGTACATTTCCTCGGCATTTCATTCCAGTGGGTATTCCATAGACTACAGCTGATTAATGTGTATGAATGTAAAAGAAAAAGAATTGTTTTCCTGTTTTCAAAAGAAAAAAAAAAGACAGATTTCTTAGAAGATATATTGATGTTGAATAAGTAAGGCTTTTTTCCCCATGAAAACTCGGAAGAATGACTGTAGTTTTTTGTTCATTTACCTGAGTTTCCAGTAAGGTTTGATTTGGTGAATACAGCAAGTAAATTTTACAAGTTAGTGCCTCGGTTAATGGACTTGTTCATTTGGGAGTTCATAAACAACCTGAATAATCATAAAAAATAAAAGTTTGTAGAGAAAAGATAATATTCTCTGTGTTTTGAAAGTTTTTTCTTGTGGGAATTATCAGTCGAAAGTGTATATGGTGACTCGGTTAATGAACTTTTCTCTGCGGGGAGGCAAAATAAATGATTCCTGAAGTTAATTACGTCTAGGAAAAATATTGCTGTCAACTTATTTGAAAAATGAAATGCGAAAGTTGTAAATTTAACAGGGGGTCAAATTATTTTGCCAGAATCAAAATTTTAATTACTGTATTAAATATTAATGCAACTGGTAATGCCTCGGTTAATGGACTTCTTCCATTCCTATGACAAGTCTCGTACTAAGTAATGTGGGCCAATTGAAAATTACTAGGACAAATTTGTAGCACAAAGGATTTTGGGTTTAAAGGCTGATATTTTTAAAAGCCCTTAAAATTTCTCTGAAATGTTCTTGAATGGATTATTTTATAATTTTGAATACTCAATAAGTCATTTGACATTGTTTTCTTCGTGTGATGCGTGCGGAAATGCCAGTCAAAATTATTGTAGGTCTTCAACATTTGAGGATGTATTTTATCAATTTTAGTGCAATTCTCCCAATAAGAAATGATTGAAAACTAAATAAATACCAAAGATAATTGCTTCCAAACTCCAAATAAGTTTAATATCAGAGTAACTTGACTATCTGCCGCAAAATCTCAAATATTTGCGCATGTTAATTATTCGAATATTCATTAGTTTTGAAAAATAAGCAGGAAAAATACACAGAAAATGGAAATCTAAACAAAAAAACAGACCCGACTTGAAAATGCACTGAAGCGAATTTCCCGCGCGAATTTTAATTTTATTTTGATGACCGTATGTAAGAAAAATCGGTGGCTTATCAAAAAGTCCATTATCCGAGTCAATGCTTAGCAAATGCCTGAATCTCCTGAAACATTTTTCCTCATATTTTGGCGAGACAAAAAAAAAATTACAAAATATTTGTGGCATCTCAGCCGTTTCGCGTGATGTCATACTAGGATTAAACCCTTTCTCAGTCGCAAAAAAAAGAAGTCGAAGGACAAATGATTCAACCCTCACATTGTCTTCCTGGGGTTTAATTTTTTTTAAATAGCCTGTGCTAAATCGCTGCTGTCCTTGTCGAAATGCCGGGTTTTTACCAAGGTTACGAGGCGGGTTTTCCTTTTTATTGTGTAAAAAGTCCAGCTCTAGAAGATTCTTCCAGTTATTGCTGAAGAATGGGAATTTTTACATTAATATTAAAAAAAATGTTTTACTTTGTGGAATGTTGTTTTCCATGTGCTGTGGTTTTTAAAGCGCGTGCGAACGAGCGAGAAAATGCCCTGAGGGGGAGGGTGGAAAAGAAAGTTTGTCTTGGTTTCGGGCCCACTAGGTTGCCACTGAAAAGGCTAGTTTGAAAAAATATCCCCCTGCGAATGGCGTGCTTTTTTTTTGTGCAGAAGGAAGCTACAAAAATATTTTTGCTGAAATTAAGTTTTGGGAAACAGTTCTCATTGTTTTGAAGCTGTGAGAACAAAATGAAGTTTTTTTCCTTCCCTGAAGAGAAACGTTTTTCAACCCTAAAAATTCCTTCAAAACG